TGGAGTTTAAAAACTCCTATGTAGGCAATTGCCTCTGTTGCAGCTCCTTGTTTGTAGTAATAATACTGACCTACATTTATAGAGCTCCTTTTATCCCAACGCACTGTGCCATGTGGAAGGAGGAATTGCTTCACCCAGCACTGAAATGCAGCCACCTCTGGAGTGGAATGGGCAGCTGCTTAATAGCGCAAAACAATGCAACACGTTAGTTTAGGACAGGAAGTGAAGAAGGATTCCTTATGCAACTGAAATTGCTGGAAAGAGCTAGGGGGGCAGGAAGTAATCAACCAGACTGGCACTTGGCCCGGACACCAGGGTTAACTTGTAGGGTGCTGTGGGATTTTGAATGATCACAAGTGGTCGAAGCCTTGGTGCAATGTCTCATCCAGAAGACGCCCCCCCAGCAGTGCCAGCCCCACCTGGGGAACACCCTTCCAAGTGCTGACCGGGGCGATGCCCACACAGCTGTTGAGATCTGATGAGGGGGCTGGCAGGCATGGAGCATTCAGTCGGTTTACTGCCCTCTGCTTGAGGAAGCTTTGCCTCATTCTCAGCTCCCCCGGCCCGGTTATTGCTCCACATGCCTGGGCAGGGACACCCAGAGCATGGTGCTGTGCCCAAGTGCTGCCCTCTGTTCCCAGGGGAGGATGTAATGGTGTGCTGGCATGGGTGGGGTGCACAGCTGGGTGCCCTGAGCCCACCTGAGAGCGCGCAGATGTGCTGACGGCTCCCTGCAGGATGGCAGCTCCAGACCAGGGAGGAATCCAAGCAGGGTCTGATCTGGAGGCTCGGGGGGGGCTTAGGCAGCATGTGCTCCTCCGCTCCTGAGGCGATGGGCTGGTGACTTTCAGGTCTAGGCGATGCCAGTGCAGCATCTCGCTTGCTGAGGGCTTCACGTCCAGCAACAGCCCAGGCAGCCGAGTCTGGGCCAGAGGCCAGTGGGGAGCTGGCAGCTCAGCTGGGAGCTGTGGGAGCACAGATGGCTGCTTTCCCTAGGGCGAGCCAAGTGGGTGGGCAGGCTCCAGTTTATTAACAGTTGCGCTTTGGAGGCTACATGAAGCACAGCGAGCAAGCTGCCCACAGCAATTGTGATGAACAAAGCCCCGGAGTATTTCTAGCACATCCCTACGAGGGATGGCAGCTCTACGTTCTGTGGGCTAGTGCTCGGGCTGGGAGCATGCCGACCTGCGAGCCCAGCTGGGCTCCTGGATCCTTAATGGAGCCCCCAGATGTATTGGAAATGGGAGAGGAGGCCAAGTGGGACTCCCTGAACGGTTGGGAGTTAGGGATCCTAGCCCCAGCAGAGTGGGGGAGGAGGGGCTGGTCACTAAGCCAGGGCAGGAACCTGCCCTAAAAGGCATTAGGACAATTAGGAAGGTGGCTCTCTTGGGACAGGAACCAAGTGCCCAGGTTCAGAGCTGCCCCGTGTCCATGGGGCCCTCACGTTGGTTTCAAGTCCCGTTGACCTGCCTTCCCTGGACTGGTGAAACGGCAGGGGTCTGCCCAACTGCGTTAGCCACCCCTGGATGGTGGCACCCAGCAGCTCTCCTTGGTCAATGACATTACCCAAAGAGGGGCTATGATTGGCGGGTGGCATTGCTCTCTCTCTGCTGGAGCGAAAGCCCCACCCCTTGCCAGCCCCCCCCGTGCCAGGCTCCACAGCCAGGACTGTGATGCGTAAATCTCTCCCATCAGGGTATCTCCGCTTTACAGATGGGCAGGGGAAGTGACTGGTTGGAGACAGGAGTTCTGGCTCCCAGCCCTGTGCTTTAGCCCCAAGATCATCCTGCCAGGGCTGGTCCATGCTGGGAAACGCCACGTTGTCCGTGAGCGACTGGGCCGTTAAACGCTGCGGGTAGGCGGGGGCGGTTGTGTGTGACGCTCAGGGAGCTGAAGGCAGCCCTGCCTGCCCGGAGTGCCCTGTGCTGTTACTTAGCGGACCGCCTGACATGCCGCACTCGCCCTTGTGTCCACTGCTTCCTGGGTACCAGGTGGCACCGTGCAGCATAACCCGCATCCCCTCTGGCTGGTGGGCGCCGTGGGGATGGGACCCATTCCTTAGGAGAGCGCCCAGTGCAGGTGCAGCATGGGCTCTCAGCCGGCTGCTCTCAACAGCAGCACAATCCTGTTTGGTCACCTAGGCAGTGAGCGCCGGGGCTGTTGATTGTCTCAGCGAGGCTATTTCTATTTCTAGCCTCGCAGCCTGCTCTGCTCAGCTCGGCTCTGCGTGGCTGCGTGAGGGAGGGAGGAGAGCCCCCGCCAGATGCTCACCCTCGTGTTTCCAAAGCAAAGGGACCGAATGAGCCAGCACGGATGGGATGAGTGTGGAGGGGAGTGAGCTGGATCCAGTGGGACCTGGCTAAACCCAGCTGTGCCTGGAGCAAGGCTCTCCCCAAACCCTGGGATGCCTTTCTGCCGCAGGTTTCCCCACTGCTGGAGAATCCCTGAGCCCTCTCCTGAGGTGGCTCCGTGTCCTCGGCAGAATCTCATCTCCTCTGAGTCGCACACACTGTCTCTGGCAGCCTCATTCATCCCGAATGCACCACAAAGGGCACTGAAGTGCAGTTAGCGGGTGGTGAGATTTCCGCTTCACGAGTGGCTTGGCAGGTTTCCTCCTGGATGCACTCCTCTCAAGTGAGCTGAGTCTCTTTCGCTTTGTTCTTGAGCAGTTTTGGTTTTAATCCCAAATCCCTCTGGGAGTGTGTTTCCTCTCATTTCTCATTAGCTGGGCTCCTAGGATGTTCTGTCCATGTTGCCCAGGCTTTGCAGCCTGGTAGCCTGATGACTTAAACTATATTGTGTGAAATGCCATGAGCATTGGCTGCCCTCCACTTTGAGCACTGTGAGAAATCTACAGGCACTTCACAGCTGTCACTGTCACCACTCAGAGTCATGGCAGTGGTGGGGCTAGAACTCAGATCCTCCTGCTCGCAAAGCACAAGCCCTGAGCCCTTGGGCTAAAGGAGAATCCCTGTTGGCAGTGTAGGGTCTATGACCCCCAGGAGAGCAGTTCTCAGTCCATCCGGTAGAGGGCGCTGGTTTACATAAAAACCCGCCAGCTCATCGCATGATGGAGGTGCATCCCCGGAGCACCACGTGCCATTGTTCCTGCCTTCCTTGGGCAATGGCGCTTTTCCTGACAGCTGCCCCTCCCTGGGGCCTTAGCTCCTGTCTCCTTGCTGTTTGTGGGGAAAAGTGATGATTTGCTTTAGAACCAGGAAAATAACCCACACCCTGCATTAAATGTCTGTGGGGAACTGTGGGCTTCATCTCTCGAGCAGGATCTGTGGCCCCGTCCCCTTTTAGTGCCCCTCGGGGCTCCTTTCATGGCTGCAACCCCATTGCCGCCCTGAGTCCTGGCAGGCTGCCCGGGGAGCTCCAGAAGCCCCAGGGCAGGCAGGTCTGTGTGCTCGGGCTCCATCTTGGATGCCAGGGTGGAGCATGGACTGCTGGGAGCTGTAGCTCAATGGGCCCTGTGCTGGAAGGGAGCAGGACTTTGGCCTGGTGGCTTCCTCGCTGGGTTCCCGGCACCAACACTCAGGGAGCGAGCTGCGCATAAAGTAACTTGGTCCGGCCCGAGCCCTCCCCAGCACAGCCGAGCATAAGGAGAAGTGAAGTCCCGCGTGCTACCTGTTTGGAAAGGGGAAGTGAGGTCATGTCCTGTTCCCTCACACGCGAGGCGGGGGCAGCCTCTGGAGAAGCCAACCGTTTGTGCCCAATTACCACACGAGCTGCCCAGGGCCCTCGCTGGCTCCCCGTCTCTCCAGATTGGGCCCTAACCAACTGCCCCGGGATGGGGAAGCAGGAAGGAGCTGGGTTGAGCAACATCAGTGCTGGGAACACTGCAGCACGCAACATCCTGCCGCTGAGCTAATGCCTCTAAACAGACACCGATTTCATGGGCTGAGACCCATCACGCGGCTGTACACGGCTCTCACATAGTCTCTTGGAGGGAGAGCGTTAACCGCCCTTAATGCAGCCTTTCAGATGGCAAGGGGCAATGTTCACTGGCTGCAGCTGGGGCCTGGGAGCCAGGACTCCTGGGTTCTACAACCCACTCAGTCACTCACTGTGCGGACTTGGGCAAATCACATCCCCCATCAGTGCCTCAGTTTCCCCGTTCTATAAAATGGGAGCTAACGTTACGGACCCATCAGGCAGGGCCAAGCTGTGAGGCTTGAGTAGCTGATTGTAAAGCGTCCAGAGACCCCCGGTTAAAACATGCTGTCAGAGGGAGTCTGGGCTTGTTGAGACGGGTGATGGGGAGCTTAAATCATTGCACTGAAACTCGACTTGGCTTTATTGATCCTTGTGTCCCACACAGGCCGCACCCCAGCACTGAGCGAGCGCCTGGGGTTCTGGCCTGGTTCTCCCCCCTGCCCCCCCGGCGCCATGCGCAGTGCAAATCCCGAGAGGGCATGGGCCGACTCCTGAGTTGGTGGTGAGGAGCACTGGGGGGGGAAGTCCTCAGGACACTATAGGCTGAAGCTTCTCGTTCTGCAGCCAGACATTAGAGTGGATGTCGGAGATCTCCACCTGTCCAGGACAGACTGTCTGTGTCTGTGCCGGGGTCCAGCTGGCAGTGGCCATGCTGGGCTGGGAGTCTGTCTCTCTGAGACCTGACCAGGCCAGGCAGCTCTGGTTGGTGATGGAGCAACCCAACCACTTCCTGACTTGGAGCTGGAGCTCAGGGGCTCTGTCCTTGGAGGTGGAAGGGTGGGGTGGGGTGGTGGGGATGCAATGCTGGTAAGAGGGTGGAGACCTGAGCTCAGCCCCTTGGGTACAGGGAACTGGAGGAAGATGGGGTGACATCACCCAGATACCTGGGATGCGAGGGACCCTGCCTCGTCCAGGTTGGGCCTAGACACACAGATGGATAGGACTCAGCCCTCCCCACACAGGGGCTCTCCTCCTTCATCTGCTTCCCTCATGGTCCTGGCAGCTGGGATGTACCTCGCCCAGCGCCCACTCCTGTCTCATCCTGTCTGTTTCCCCTGCAGGATTCCATGAACCTGCCGCCCGACAAGATGAAGCTGCTCAGCCAGTATGACAGCGAGAAGAAGTGGGAGCTGATCTGTGACCAGGTGAGACTGAGGTGCCTAATCCAGGGAAGTCTCCAGGAGCTGCGGGCACCCATGCGCCACCCCCCATGGCCACCCTAGCACCTGCTGCCAGAGATTCAGCTCCATCCGTTACCCACTGCTACACAACACTCACGGCAGGAAACTCACACCCAGACACTTCCTGTGTTGCTCAGGTTGGTACCTGATCACGGGCGTTCAGTCTGCCGCTTCGCAGCATGACTCACGATAGTGGGGCCGGAGCGGGAGAAGTCACGCTCATTGCTTCAGCCCACAGATGTTCCAGATGTCAGGGGAGGTGCTAGGCCGGCAGCCTCTGCTCCCAGCTGGGACGGTCTGAGGGCTGGCTCCCCTGCCAGCAGTTCGCAGTCATTGGAGGTGCCTGCAGAGGAATCTGATGGGTTGAATCCTCTGAAGCCAAGGAGGAATCCCAGCGGTTCCTCGATGAGTCATTTCTCTCCCCGTCTGTCATCTCTGCACCCAGCCAGTCAGTTCCTTATCAGCAGAAAGATTCATTCCGCTGCAGGGATGGGCTTTCTGCCAGAGGCCGTTAGCTGGGCCTCCACCCAGGCTCAAGTAGCCTTTTCCTGGTGATCTGCAAAGAAAGCTGGGGGTCGATCCCCTCGCTGTGCGTTGGTGCTGAGAGGCCTTCGGGAGGGAGCAGGGACTGGGCATGTGTGTGCACTAGTTCTTATCCGGTTCAGAGGGGTTGGGGGGAGCAAGGCCCAGTGCTTCCGAGGCCTGCCGGATGGGGCCCTTAATGCCTGCCAAGCGCTTTGAGGATGCAAACGCCGTGTAAGTGCTGAGTATTATTAGAAACCGGTGAAAGATCAAATGCCTCAGAAAACCCTGTAATTGATGCATCTCACTGGAGCGACTGCTTCCCTGGGGGAGGGGCTGGTAGTTTTTGCTAGTGACTGGATATTTTAACCAGTCAGCCTCTGCACTTGCTTCTTAGCTCAGGGGCTCTGGTGACTCCAGATTTTGCTTTGGGGGGGTCTGTGTTGAGCGAAACCCTCAGGTTTGGGGATGGGGGTGGGATGCTGAGCTTGCGAGCGGCGAGGCCCCAGGCTCACTCAGGTTGGCAGTGACCACTGGGCATTGCTGCCCCAGGGCTGCCTTGTTTCTCCTGATGGGCAGTTAATTTGGCTCCTGCTCCTGGGGGCCATGGAAGGCATGACAAAGCCCTAATCATGGCTGAAGACAGGCCAGCGGAGAGGCTGTAGGCTGGGTGGGCCATGGAGACTGACCTCCCTGTCTACCTTCGGGCAGTCCCTGCAGGTTCGGGGCTCAGTGCCCTGCTAATTGTGCTGTCCCTGCGCTCTAGATAAATGGAGGCCATGGGCTGTTCACCTCAGGGCTCACCCAGCACAGTCATCCCTGGCCCTAGCCCAGAGCTCTGCTCAGGGGTCCCAGGGCTGTGCAAAGGCAATGGGTGTCATCACCCCTTTCGCCTGCCTGTGGTCTGGGGGCCTGAGTCTGACCAGAGCTTGCTGGGCCATGTGCTCCCTGAGGAGATGGTGCAGGGCAGGAGTCATCACGTGCTGACTGGGGATACTGTGCAGAGGAGGCTCTTCTTGGCTTGTTCCATGGCCAGAGCCTCAGGGCCCTGATTCTGTCTCTATCTCCTGCCCATCAGTGAAGCCCTGCAAGGGTGCCAGGAGTCCAGCATCTCAGAGGGGGCTCGTGCATTCCTACATCCCAAGGCCGGAAGGGACCATCCAGTCTGATCCCCTGGATAGCAGAGGCCAGACACCTGCCCCACAGTGATCCCCAGGGCAGGTCTTTTAGAAAAAACGTCCCATCTTGATTTAACAATTGTCAGGGTTAGAGAATCCACCTTGCGAAGTTGTTCCAAAGATTAGTTACCCTCGCGGTTAAAAATTTACACCTTTCCAGTCTAAATTTGTCTGGCTTCAACTTCCAGCCATTGGATCGTGTTACATCTTCCTCTGCTGGATTGAAGAGCCCATTATCAAACCTCCGTGTGCCAGCCTCTGTCCCCAGGACTGTTCTGCTCTGCTGCAGTCACTTCCCTTCCCTTTGCCTCAGTTACCCCATCGATCTACCAGGAAGGAGAAGTCCTGAGGCACTTGGATGAAAGGGGATCTCGATGCCTAACCCAGGCCAGCAAAGTGTGGCTCAAGCTTTTAAATCCAGTGGTCCCAGTTCAAGCCCCATAGAAGGATCATCATTAGAGAACTATATGTTTCTGTTATGAAGGGTGCGTCCACACTCAGACTGCTACAGTGGTATAGCTGCAGGGGAGACAGTGATGGGAGGGGCTCTGCTGTCAGGCCTGGTCTACACAGAATCATAGAAGACTGGGGTTGGAAGGAGTCCTCAGGAGGTCATCTAGTCCAACCCCCTGCTCAAAGCAGGACCAACCCCAACTAAATCATCCTAGCTGGGGCTTTGTCAAGCTGGGCCTTAAAAAGCTCTAAGGAAGGAGATTCCACCACTTCCCTAGGTAATCCTAGACCTCCCGCACTGCAACTTGAGACCATTACTCCTCACTCTGTCATCTGCCACCCCTGAGAACAGCCGAGCTCCATCCTCTTTGGAACCCCCCTTCAGAGAGTTGAAGGCTGCTATCAAATCCCCCCCTCACTCTTCTCTTCTGCAGACTAAACAATCTCAGTTCCCTCAGCCTCTCCTCATAAGTCATGTGCCCCAGCCCCCTGATCATTTTCATTGCCCTCCGCTGGACTCTCTCCAATTTGTCCACATCCCTTCTGTAGTGGAGGGACCAAAACTGGACACAGTACTCCAGATGTGGCCTCACCAGTGCCGAATAGAGGGGAATAATCACTTCCCTCGATCTGCTGGCAATGCTCCTACTTATACATCCCAAAATGCCATTGGCCTTCTTGGCAACAAGGGCACACTGCTGACTCATATCCAGCTTCTCGTCCAGTGTAATCCTCAGGTCCTTTTCTGCAGAACTGCTGCCTAGCCACGTGGTTAGGTTGACGTAAGTTGCCTTGCATCAACCTAGCCATGGAAGTGTCTTCATTTAACTGTGGGTCCTGCTGACGTAAGTGCCTCTCTACGCTGGTTTAGTAATGCCACTTCCCCCGAGCGGTGGAGAGTCACGGCCACTGTATGTAGGTGGACAGTGTCAGTGCAGACTCTGATGCTTATATGGAAAGGTGCTGACTTTCAGGAGCCGTCCCACGATGCCCCCCAGTGACGGTACCCGCGCGACTGGTGAGGTTGTGCACCGCCAACACAAGGAGCCAAGCGTGCACGCACAAGCAATTTAATAACTGCAGTGGCTGGATGCCGATGAAAGTTAGGTCGATGTAATTTTGTGGTGTCGACATGGCCTGACTGTAGCTAATCCACCTCCCCAAGCAGCGGTAGCTAGGTCAGTGGAAGAACTCCTCTGTGGACCTAGTGCTGTCTGCTCCGGGGGTTAGGTCGGCACAGTGATATCTCTCAGCAGTGTGGGTTTGTCACGCCCCCAGAGATGGAGCTAGGCCCATGTACGTTTTCCGTGTAGACCAGACCTAGGACAAGTAGCTCTTAAAATGAGTTAACATCTGTGTGCCCAGTATCTGCAGTGACACTAGATAGCAATTGATTGATGGGCACACTGCTCACCGGCTGGTGTCAGGCAACAATCTCTCTTGCACAATATTATACTGTGGGGCAGGAAGCAGGCCCAGCGCTGTGCCCTGCCGGGGGAGGGAAGGCAGGTCCAGCGCTTTGCCCCGGGGGAGTGGGGGGAAGGAAGGCAGGCCCAGCGCTGTGCCCTGCCGGGGGAGGGAGGCAGGCCTCGTGCTGTGCCCTGCAGGGGGGGAGGCAAGCCCAGCGCTGTGCCCTGGGGACGAGGAAGGCCCAGTGCTGGGCCATGTGAGGGAGGGAGGCAGGCCTGGTGCTATATCATGGGATGAGGAAGCATGGTCTGTGGTTATGCACAGGACTGGACATCAGGAGATCTGGGTTCTAATCCCACCTCTGCCACAAACTTATCCTTGGGCAAGTCCTTTAATTTCTCTACTTTGTAAAATAGGGATAATATTCACCTAATTCGTGGTCAGGGCTTGTGCAGCTTTATGGACGAGTGCATGTAAAGAGCTTTGAGAGCCTGGGTTGGAGGGGATAGGAAGGTGCGGCATACTATAACAGATGTGGCCTGTGAGGTTTACAGAGCATCCAGCTCCGGGCACTGCTCATCCTTGGCTGGGCAGGACTGGCAGTTGGAGGTGGTGAGACTGGAGACCTGGCTAGAGAGCGCAGTGGTGTGGTCTGGGGCAGGGGACTGCAGGGTTATCACAGGCAGCGTCTGTGTTCTGTCTTCACTGGCGTAGCTTCCGAGCTGGGGAGGGTCCCTGTGAGTCCCCCGCCCCCATGCAGCCACAGCACTACATGATGACAGGTGTCTGAGAGTGGCTTGTTGGCCTATGGCAGCTTGGTGCCCTAAAGAAGAGGGCTGGCTGTGAGTTCTGAGCCAGGCGGGCTCACTTGCTCCCACTCAGCATGGAAATCCTGCCGGATCCTGGCAAACGTCCTGTCTGTGTAAAGCCACTAATTCCCCGTCTGGCTAGTTCCCAGGGGCAGACGACCTGGGCAGCAGGTCACTTCCAAAGAGCGAGTCTCTCTCCCTGGCCCTATTCAGCCGTTTCTCACGCACATCTCAGACCCCTGCAGTCTCCTCAGCGTCCCGCTCGCTTGCGGGTGCACTTGTGCACACGCTGAATCAGTGCTCGGGGCTGTGTGTTCTCCTCCATCGTCTGAGGAAGCTGGGCCTGAATGTCTCCCTTCTCCCCCATCCTCGCAGGAGCGGTTCCAGGTCAAGAACCCCCCCTCTGCGTACATCCAGAAACTGAAGAGCTACTTGGACACGGGCGGAGTCAGCAGAAAGGTGACCTCCGATTGGCTGATTGCCATGGCGGTATTATCCTCCCCTTTTATTCTCCCCTCTCCTTTGCCGCCCCTTAGCTTTTTTACCGCAGTCGAGAGCCGAGGTCCCCGAAATGGGGTAGTGCACCCCCAGGGGCACAGGAGCTGTCAGAAGTGGTGCACTGTAGCAGGGTGGTCTGTCCTCTGTAAGGGGGAGGAGAGCCTGGACCAGACAACCCCTTTCCATGCCATGAGCCCTTCAAGGACACAGGTATTGCAGGGTGCAGCAGACTACCTGGGGGTCGGGTCAGGTGGCTACCTCCTTCTGGCTGGCTGGCTGGCTGGCTCCCGGGAGGAGAGGGAGAGCAGAATTACAGGGCAGCAGCAGCCCAGGAGAGAGGGTCCCGGGGCTGGGACCCAGAGGAGAGACTGGGGGCTGGGGAGCCTGCCTGAGTCACAGCATAGCCCCCAAGGATCGGTGGGGGCCCCAGAACCAGAGGGAACAAGTGGGGGAGCAAAGGAGGCTCCCTGGAGCAGGGCTGGCAGCTGGATACTGGCGGGCTGGGGAAGCTGGCTTGAGTCACAGCACAGCCCTTAGGAGAGGGGCTGTGGAATCGCTTGGCTGCGAGGAAGGCATTTAGTCCAGGGACCGGGGCAGAGAGAGACCCACGGGAAAGATGCTCCAGAGGGGTCGGGGCTGGGAGAGCTGCCTGGCTCAGAGGAAATGGGAAGGGAGCCCTGGAACGAGGTGAACTGGAGCTGGAGCTGCCTGCTGCCAGTTGAGGCCCCCTCACTTCCAGCCAAGGTTCCCTCAGCTCCCTATGCCTCCCTTCTGAGCACTCTCTGGCCTTTTACACGCCCACTCCCTCACACACTACCAGCGCCCCTCCCCACAGTCTAACCTCATTAGAGCCGGTGGGAAACAGGATTCCCAGCTCACAAAACTTTTCCTGATTTCAAGAACTTCCCCATTCTGCATCGGGATGAAACTGCGACTTTTTGTAGTTTTTTTGTGTGGAAAAACCTCAGAGAGACACCTCCCCCCTTGCCATCCCCCATCATTCCAGAATAGCCGGTAGCCTGGGGTCAGGGTACTCCCCTGGGATGTGACAGCCCCAGGTCCCAGGGCTTGTTCTGAGTCAGGCTGTTCTGGAATGAGGCTGTGTCGCTCTCTCATTTTGACTCGAAATTCCATCCTGGGCCCGAGGAACCTTCCTTACAAAAGTTTCGTTGAAGCTGGGACGTTCCTGCGAAACAGATTGGCATTTTCTGATGAAAAACCATTTAGTCAAAAAATTTCCAACCCCCTCTAAACCTAACGTCCTGTAGCCCTCCCCACCAGGCACCCCCAGCCAAAAGGCCTTCTCTTCTAGATTCCCCCAGGCAGATCTCCACCAGCCAAATTTGAAACTTATTTCACTTTGACTGTAAATACTTAAGTCTGTTAAGGCCTAAAATAACTGTGCACAAAAAGGGGATGCTGGCATGAGGGAAGGCAAGCATCTGTTCTCAGAGGGTGGTACATGGACCAGAAATGTTTGGGAATTGCTGCTCTAGAGGTTATTTGGAGTTAACACAGGTGGTAAAAGAGAAATGAGGCTGCGACCTGGCCAGTGATGTGGCAGATCTGTCTAACTCCCCTTTGCTTTTTGAAACGCAGTTTAAGAGGCGAGTGCAGGAGTCCACACAGGTGCTCCGAGAGCTGGAGATCTCGCTGAGGACCAACTATATCCGGTGAGAATCTGATGCCCAGGGTTAGTGCAGATGACTGTCTCCCTCTAGTGGCCGCTCCCAGCCTGCATGTGGCTCAACTCGCGATAGGGCTTGTGCTTTGGGGGCTGCAGGTCTGTGTTTTAGCAGACAAGGGGTGTTGCACTCTTGCCTGCTAATCGCTGCAGGCCTGCAAGGAGGCAAGAAGCAGGAGCTGCTACCAATGCTAGCCGGAGGTCTGCTTTGGCTGCAGCAGCAGAGTAGCTGGTTTTTGAGTACAAAGGTCCCTGGTTCACGACCCGGCAAGGGTGGGTTCCTGCCATGCTCCATCTGCTGCTGCTCCTCAGCTTGGCTATCAGATGTCATAACTGGTCGTGCCGTGTCTGGGGGGGTGAGCCCTGTGGGGAACTAGGGATGGCCCCCACTGAGTTTGCCTCAGTGCTACCATCCCACTGCGAAAATCTCATGACTGTGGTGGTGAGGCTTTTGTGGGCCCCTGGCTGTCTCCCAGCCCCATCCGGATCATGGAAGATCCAGAACAGGTGCAAGTCTGGGTGGAGATGGGAACTTCACTCCTCTGAGGGTTAGAAAGCTTTGCCTAATTTCAAACCTAACCTTGTTGATGGGCAGTTTATATCCCTTTGTTCTTGTGTCCACACTGGCACGTCTGTGGCCCCAGGCTTCGTGCAGAAGCCTCTCTGAAGTTACCTGGAGTGCAGCGTGTGATGGGCTCTCAGGATCAGACTCAGGCTGGGTGGGAATGGGCAGTGAGGCCTGGCCGGCCCAGTGTCTGCGCTGCCAGGGTGACCTGGAGTATGTCTACTGCTAAATCTACCCCCGTGCTGTGGGGCAAACCCACTGGGTAGTGCTCTGGCAAATGGGACCCAGCACTGATCTGGAACTGTTGTCTGAGCATGGGGCAAAAGCAGATGGGCAGTGCCCCTCCCTGATCGTGGGGCTGGGGCTGTCCGGTGCCATCTGGGGCCTGGCCCAAAGCCAGTCACGTCTCAAAGCAATGGAGGCAGTTGGAGGCGTCTGTGGGCGGGTCCTGTGGTAGATGGGCTGGGGGTGACGGCAGCCAAACAGGAGACAAGCGGCGGGGTTGCATGGAGAGCAGGAAGGCAGGTCTGGGGGTTCAGGCATTGGGTTCTGAGACTCAGGCAACCTGGGGGCAATTTCCAGCCTTGCCACAGACTCCCTGCTGGCCTTGGGCGAGTCCCCGCATGTCTCCGAGCTGCCATCCCCCACCTGCGAGATGGGGTGGCAGTGATGGCATGCCTGACCTATGGCTCAGTCTGGGGAGAGCTCTGAGATTTTGGGGGCCAGGCGGAGGGACTTGAGCTCTCAGGAAAAGAGTAAAAGGCTCCCCCTGGAGCAGGGAACCTGTGAATAGCCATGCAGTGGGGGAATCAAGAAGAGGGACTGCTGGCTGCCCTTGGGGGATGCAGCCACACAGCAGGGCCCTGATGGAAAGTGAACCTCTCTGCTCCTGTGAAGCCTGCCCATGCATCCAGCCAGGCCTGACCAGGCTGACTCGACGCCACCCATACCCTCAGAGGGCTGCGTCCTAACTCTGCTGTCTGCCCTGAGTGTGGGCGGCCTAGACTAGTGGGGAGAGAGCTGGGATGGGGGGGACGCAGCCTTGCCCTTCCCCACAGCTCTAGGAAGGGAGCAGATTACTTAATCCCAGGGCTGTGGCCCGTGTGTGAGAGGGGCAGAGCCAACATGCTTCCAGCCCACTCTGCCCCTCCCAGTGGCTGCCCCTGTGCTCCCCATTGTCACGGAGTCCCCGGGCGATACTCGGGAACTGCTCCCTACGAAGCCAGGCAGGACTCTGGGGAAGTCTCCTTTCTGTGAGCAGCCTGTCTGCAGGACACACAGCTCACCCGGCTTCCACCTTCCTGGGTCTGACCTTGGAGCATTCAGCATCCTCTGCCCCTCCGTGCGCTTCCCCCAGCGAGTCTGCCCAGGCGGGCTCCTGGGGAAGCCAGAGGGTCCTGCACCCCAACTTTGCAATCAGACGTGATTCCCTGGATTCAAATTCAAACCCTTGGCTGTTACAGGAGCAGGGCCTGGATCCTGTTCCAAAGAGACACAGTCACCCCACAACAGGTTCTCACAGCTGATATCCTGGAGAACCCCAACAACTAGCCATCCCCACCCCTCCTGGGTCTGCACAGGGATCTGGGCCGTAGGCAGGGCGAGGGGCTTCACCCCTAGGACCCTCATCCAGCTCACACAGCCCCTCAGCATCTGGTGAGGCTGCACCACCCGGGGCCTGACACCAGTTCTCTCTGTCCCAGGATCTCGCCACCCCAGGAATGTCTCCCCATTGACCATCACCTTCCGCTCCCAGTGGGGGTCCGAGGGGCCTGAGCCCAGGAAACTCCACACAGACATATAGGTTGGGGTCAGGAGTGGGAGCCTGTCCCCCTCCCCACCCATCTGGCTGACGGAGTCTATGGCCTTGGGACCCAGCAAGGGAGCTAGACACCGGGGCTTTTCCGCAGGGTCCCCCTGGTTCAAATCTCCAGCCTGCTCAAAGGCAGTGAGGTGGCATCCACATCCCCCCCTCCTTAACCAGGGGCAGCAATTTAGTCTCGAGGTTCCCTGCGGAACTGGCCCCCCGGGGTCTATCCCCACTCACCCCTGGGAGGTCCCCTAACCCTCTCCGCTCCACCACTGCCAGTTCATGCTTCTGCAGCTCTTTCTCAGGCTCTCGCTGTCTCTCACAGTCCTCTGGCTCTCTCGGACTCAGCTCCAATCCCGTCCATCTCCGATCCCCCGATGGGGAACCCGATCGCGAAGACCCCCGTCTGGTCGGGGACAGGAGTCTTGGCGATGCCTGGCTCCCGCTCCAGCTGCTCCCAGATCCTGCTATAGCCCCAGTTGGGGTCAGGGATCTGTTCCTTAGAGCGGTCATCCTCCTCCAGCTGCACGATTAACTCTGCTTTGGTGAACTTTCCAATGCGCAACCCTCTCTTTCTGCACAGGGCTACAATGTCCTTCTTAAGGAGACGGTGACAGGCCATCACTCCGCTCTTCCCAAGTTGTTGTGGACTCACAGGCCTGTGTGCTCTCAGCTCCCCATGGTTTCCAGGGAGAACCCCTAGTGTGCCAGCCCTTCTCGAGGTCACCACCTCTTTGCCAGGGTCGAGCTGCAGACTCCTCCGCCCCTTGGACTGCTCGCTGCAATCCCCAGGGGAACCCTGTTACTGCAAAAGTCCTTCTCTCTCCCAGGGCCAAGCCGCAGGCTTCTCCACCGCTGAGACGGCCCACCACAGTCCCCAGGGGACCCCATTACTGCACAGTCCTTCTCGCTGGTCACACACTCCCAGGGGTTAACCGCCCCCCGAAACCGCTCCTCTCCGAGCCTTCAGCAGGCCTGGTCCTCGTCAATCCCCCTTCATTTTACTGCTCCCCCGTCGCTTACTGCAGGAAGCGCCATCCATGGGGTGCAGTACATCCCACCTCTGCCACCAGTTGTCACGGAGTCCCCGGGCGATGCTCGGGAACTGCTCCCTACGAAGCCAGGCAGGACTCTGGGGAGTCTTCAGGACACACAGCTCACACAACTTCCACCTTCCTGGGTCTGACCTCGGAGCATTCAGCATCCTCTGCCCCTCCGTGTGCTTCCCACAGCGAGTCCGTCCAGGCGGGCTCCTGGGGAAGCCAGAGGGTCCTGCACCCCAACTTTGCAATCAGACGTGACTCTCAGCCAGCCAGTAAAACAGAAGGTTATTAGACGACAGGAACATGGTCTAAACCAGAGCTTGTCAGTGCAGAGAACAGGACCCCTCAGTTGGGTCCAGACAACCACGTCCGCCCTTCACTCCATGTCTCCAACCAGCCCCAAACTGAAACTCTCTCCAGCCCCTCCTCCTCTGGGCTTTGTCCCTTTCCCGGGCCAGGAGGTCACCTGATTCCTTTGTTCTCCAACCCTTTAGCTCTCACCTTGCAGGGGGGAAGGGCCAGGCCATCAGTTGCCAGGAAACAGGGTGTCGGCCATTCTCTGTGTCCAGACCCCTGCACACACCTGCCCTCTAGGGCTCTGCAACGATCATACACCCATATCCCACCACCTAGATACTTAAGAACTGCCTAGGGGAAACTGAGGCACCCCCACAATATTCAGAGGAAACATTAAGAACAGTCCTGCTTCGTCACACCCGTCACAGCTGGGTTCAGTCTGAGCAGGGGTAGCCACAGGGCTGGGTCACTCCGGCCCGAGGGGAGGGCTGTGGGGAGAGAAGCACCAGCCTGCAGCTGGGGAGAGACACTCTAGAAAGGAAGCAAAAGGAAGAAAAGAGAAACGGGCTTGAGGATGGCGGTGCAGCTGGGCTCTCCCTGCCTGATCTCCCTGGCTAACGCACCTCCTCTCCCCCAGCTGGGTGCAGGAGTTCCTGAACGAGGAGAACAAGGGGCTGGACGTGCTGCTGGAATACCTCGCCTTCGCCCAGTGTGCCGTCACGTAAGTTGCTGCTGAGCCCTTTGCTCCTGCTGGGGAGGGGAGGGCGATGGGCCGGGTGCCATTTTCTCCCCAAGCGTCGGCCCTGCTTCAGATCCGCGCCGAGCTGTAAGCACGAGTCGTGCCTGTGACTTTAGGCCTAACGCGGGAGACCTGCCTGAGCACCATGCTTCATCGGAGCCCTGCTCCTGCGTCTACAGGGTCTGGCTCTGGACTTCGGCCACAGATTGACTTCTCTAGACTGCCCTCTGCGTCCCTTGCTAGCAGCCCGTGAGCCGGGGGGAGGCGGTCCCTTTGCTTTCTTTGTGGCTCGTTGGGAAGGAGTCTCTGAAAGCAGCCTCCCGGGAGGGCAGGGCCAAGAGCCACAGGCTGGGGCAGCCCACGTCTCTGCCATAGGAGCCTTCCACGAGTGCACCAGTCTGTGCCCTCTGGCACCAGGGCCCGGGTGTCATGCAAGGAGTGCCAGCCCCTAGTGCAATAGAGCCTGTCCTGGACTGGTCATGGGAGGGGAGGGGCCACACAAGCCTGCCCCATACGACATGAGGGCTGGGGCCCCAGCTCTCCATGGGAGGCCAGCGGGTTGTGGGAGCAGGGCTCCCTCGGCCCCGTGTGACCAGGAGCAGGTTTCTGAGAGCAGAGGGGTCTGGGATTGAGCAGCCTGGCAAAATGAGACCCCCTGGGAGCTGAAGCCGGACAAACTCCGACTAGTGGAACAGGGTAAATTCTCCATCCCTGGGAGTGTTTAGATCAAGACTGGCCATCTCCTGACAGCTCTGCTCAAGCCTGGCATTTCGCCATGGGTGGCATGAGAGGCCATTGGGGGTGGCCAGTCACCTGAGAGTCACCATCTCAAGAAAAGTCTCGTCCCCCTCCCCTCATGCGCCCCGAGCCTTCAGGGCCAAGTGCGTCGTGCCAGCCTCTGGGAACATGCAGAGCTCCCAGACCTGCAGGGTTAGGGGCCATCTAGTCTAACCCCCAGCTGAGAGGCAGGGTTGGCTGAGCATGGGGGCACCGGGACGGTTCTCTCGCCCATGCTGAGGGGGCTGCACGGATTTTGGCTCCAGAGACAGGGTCGCCAGCTGGCAAAGGCTGAGAAACTTGCTCTAGCTCAGACGTTCTGGGCCGGGTGGCACCCCTGCGGGCGGGTCTGGGGCCTGTGCTGTGCGGGAGGACAGGCTTAGATGACCCTATCTGGCCTTAAAATCTCTGAAACCCCCGGCCCCTTAACAAATGTCGCCCCACATGTAGGAGCGGTTCCCCTCCCCCATCCCCTTCTCCGTCCCTGTCCTGGGTGCTGAAATTTCTGCAGCTTGCAGAGATCTCCCTAAAAGCCCGTCCGTCTCCACTCCCTCAACCTGCTGCCTTGGGCCGCCCCTGCGCGTAACGCCGGCCGTGGCGCTGCTGGTCCCCGGGGGCGTTTGCGGGGCCATGCAGGGCTCTGGTGGCAGCAGTTCCTGCCCTGGGCGAGTGCGGCTACGTGTGGCTCTGGCTGGCTGAGTGGTAGCGTTGGGCTGAGGGGGCTGGAGGCTGGAGGCTGGCGGGGGGAGCGAGCTGGTGTGGGCCAGTCTCTGCAGTCCCAGAGGAGCGAGAGCTGGGCTGGGCTGGGCTGGGCTGGGCAGTCTCATGCCGCCCCTGGGCTCGAGTGTGGGGCCTCTGCCGAGGAGCCGTGAGGTATCTGTGCCGGGGGACCTCCTCTCACCGGGCTCTGTCGCTGGGTCTGCCCTTCCCCGCCACTGGCCGGGATCCTGCGGCCTCATATGAGGCCTCACTACATTCTGCTGACTCACACGTCTGTCTTCACGTGTGTGGCTCCAGGTACAATATGGAGAGCGCAGATAACGGGAGCCCGGGCTCTGACAAGGGCAAGTCCCCGGACAGATCCATGGAGGACCTCAGCAAGAGCAGCTCCTCGTCCCCCACACAGGGCTCCTCCAAAACGAGGCACCTGACTATCAGGTAACACACGCAGCCAGCATGGGACACCCCCGCTCTCCTCAGAGATGCTGGAGGAGAGGCCATTGCAAGTGGGCAGCCATCCGGTCGGGGTTCTTCTGGCCAAGCAAACAGGCTGAAGAGAGTCCTCTCCCGTCCCAACGTTAGCACAGCTCGTGGGCCTGATTCTGCCCTGGGCCGGGAGGGAGGTGCCCAGCTCCCAGTGGGGAAGAATTACATCCACACACACACACCAGAACATCAGCTCCCCTTGTGGGAGCGCCCGGGGCACCACTGCACTTGGCCTCTTACGAATCTCGACACACACAGCTTTGTCTCAGTTGCTCTGGTGCTGACACGCTGCCCATCTGGAGTCAGTACAGCCTAGAGTTGCTGGTCTGAGGAACCCGCCCCTCTCCCCACCTGTCACGGAGTCCCTGGGCGATGCTCTGGAACTGCTCCCCATGAAGCCAGTCAGGACTCTGGGGTAGTCGCCTTTCTGTGAGCAGCCTGTCTTCAGGACACACAGCTCACACAGCTTCCACCTTCCTGGGTCTGACCTCGGAGCATTCAGCATCCTCTGCCCCTCCGTGCGCTTCCCACAGCGAGTCCGCTCAGGCGGGGCTCCTGGGGAAGCCAGAGGGTCCTGCACCCCAACTTCGCAGTCAGACGTGACTCTCAGCCAGCCAGTAAAACAGAAGGTTTATTAGACGACAGGAACATGGTCTAAAACAGAGCTTGCAGGTGCAGAGAACGGGACCCCTCAGCTGGGTCCATTTTGGGGGGCAGTGAGCCAGACAACCACGTCTGCACTTCACTCCATGTCCCAGCCAGCCCCAAACTGAAAAACCCCCTCCAGCCCCCCCTCCTCTGGGCTTTGTTCCTTTCCCAGGCCAGGTGGTCACCTGATTCCTTTGTTCTCCAACCCTTTAGCTCTCACCTTGCAGGGGGGGAAGGGCCCAGGCCATCAGTTGCCAGGAAACAGGGTGTCGGCCATTCTCTGTGTCCAGACTCCTGCACACACCTGCCCTCTAGGGCTCTGCAATGATCATACACCCTTACTCCACCCCCTAGAGATTTGAGAACTGCCTAGGGGAAACTGAGGCACCCCCACACTATTCAGAGGAAACATTAAGAACAGTCCCACTTCGTCACACCACCACGTTTCCTTTTTTGCATACCATATATTTAACTCGTGGCACTCCATGCTGCAGGATGTTACTGAGGCTAATGGCTTGGTGAGTGTCAGGGAAGGGTTAGAGCCCTCAATAATGGAGCGGGTTGAAATTTTTCACAATTAAAATAAAAATAAATTTAAGAAGACCCACCACCACCAAGAAATAAATGTCCAGCACTGCTCCTTGAGTTCTGAGTGTATTGGCTGTGGCTGAGTGATGCTTGCGCAGCGGGGTCAGGGCTGTAGCCGCTAGAGGACCACCAGAAACTGCACTGACCTGATGTTGGCCAGAAGGCCAAGTGTGGGTAAATGATAATCTGGGAGGTCTCTAACAACTGCCCCCTAAACTGATAAACATGGAGCTTGGTGACCCAGAGAACATCTGTACCTGAATTACACCCCACTCCCGCGGCCCCAGGAAGCACGGACTGTCTAATGCAGGGGACCCAGCGCCAGGAATCCAGGTTCTGTCCCTGAGAAATTATCGTAACTACTTATCTGTTACCACTGGCCTCTTCTCATGTATTTCTCCTCAGCACCCCCAGGTGGTAGGGAAGTGCCATTGTCCCCATTTCACCCAGCTCAGGCACAGAGAGACTAAACGATTTGCCCAGGGTCACACAGTAGGTCTGTAGCAGAGCAGGGAATTGAACCTAGTGCCCTGACCACTAAAACATCCCGACTCTGCTCCTGACTCACCATGTGACCTGGGACAAGTCCTGTCCCCTCCTGTGCCTCGGTTTCCCCATCAGGGTGCTAGCACAGGATAGGCTGTGAGACCTAAAAGGACAATAGGGTAAAATCTTGTGGATCTGAAAACAAGGTGAAATGCTGTGGACGTTGTGGAGCTGGACCCACCCACACCCAGGCTGAATCTGGCTGGTTCTGATCCATATTGATGGGAGACGGTTCTAGTTCAAAGCCCGCTCACCTCATGCGGCTCTGTGCATGCCCGTTCCCCTCCTACATTCTAACCACAGGCTTCTTTTGCACGCTTCCCTCGGGCCGTGTCTCACGGTAGGTAACCAGGGCTCGCTCTTGGGGATGGTGGAGATTTGGCTCTGCCGTCTGCCCCAGGGTTCCTGGTGCTTGGGGTCAGGCTCTGGCTCACTTCCCAGTTCTGTTTCTCGTCGTGTGTGAGGTCGTCCTACGGTGCCGCTTCACGCTCCCTTTGTGTGCAGTCAGACCTACTGACTCAGGGATACAGGTGTTTACTCCTGTTATCCCCGTGGGGCCAGCCCAGTCAGGGGGTGGGGGTGGGAGCTGGAGTCTGACCCCACTGGTCCTGTGAGGCCAGCCTAGCCACAGGGGGAGTAAGCTGGAGTCTGATCCCATTGGCCCTGTGGGGCCAGCCCAGCCACGGGTGGCAGGGGGCGGCCGGAGTCTGACCCCATTAGCGCTGCGGGACCTGTTTAGCCGGGGGAGGAGCCTTTTGTGCATGCGTAGAATCGCTCCTTTGGGCAGTTCTAGGGCTGCGCAGGTGGTGTCTGCTTTGGCCTGCAGAGCCTTGGCTGCTCATGGTGATGTGCAAGGAGGAAAGAGCCTGGCGTGTCGTCCCCCCCACTCCCCGGGGTGTGTTTGCAAGGCTGGCAGCTAGGAAATCACCTAACCACAGCACGCTGGGCATGGAGCCAGAGAGATGATAGCCATGGCACCCCAGGCACTGTGCCAGCTGATTTCCAGAGCAGAAATACCCCTTAAGAATCAATAGGGACTTACTGAGTTCCCAGCTCACCCGGCTGCTACCTGCAGTGACTGCTCAGGAACCCAGCCCAGAATTACTGGCTTAAAGCCCACACATGTGCCCCTGGAGACTGCGCCCTTGCAGGCTGTGGGGGTGTCAATGTGTGCCATCCGCTCTGAGGGGTTGGGACGCGAGGGAGCAGCTGCCAGTGCAGTGACATGGACAGGGCAGGGACCCTCTTTAGGGACTGGATATTTAGAAATGTGAGCATGGAAAGGCAAAGGAAGTTCACTGCATGCGAAGATCAGAGGTGTGATGAGCAGGGCCTGGTGGTAAAGCCAAGGAAGATCCAGGCCCTGGGCCCTCTAGCCACCTGTAAGAAGAGCATGTGCACAACCTGGCCTTGCTCCGTTGCTGGACGCTGAGGCCTCCTGGCCATCGGCCTGTGGCCCAGAGAGGTCGCCAAGCCCCCGCCATTCCACTCCGCCACATGCCTCCAAGGAGGGCACCTCCCCATCAAGGACTGTTTCTCCCTCCTGTCCTGCAGGCCGTAATCCTCCTTCAGGTGCTGCCACTTGAACCAGCAGATCCACACATTCTTTCAACAAGTCCACCCAAGCGTCCCCTCCAGCGCCCCTTGGAGCGATCAGGAGAGTAAACCCAGGCCACCTATGAACTCCTATGCGCCCCGGTGAGCCTCCTGCAGCCATCTGAGATCACCAGTGCACTAGGGTGCAGACTGGGCCGGGCCGGTGCCCTTTGCTCTCCCCGGCCAGCCGCAATGCCAGGTCGTTCCAGGCCATAAGCCCCCGTAGTGTTGGTGAAAGGCACCGGACTGACAGCCCTGGGACAAGGGTCCTCTCCTGATTTCCCGCAGCAGGTTCAGCAGCTGCCCCGCTCGACCCACCGCAGGGCCTCAGTCCTGTCCTGGCGCGAGGCAGAGCCCAGCCCACTCAGTCGCTGGCCTCTCTGCCAGGACGGCCTGTGGGGGGGTGTCTGGGCTGCAGACTGTGGACGGGTCAGAGGGGACCCCGTTCCCAGTCTGAGCCAGCCAGGCCCCCAGCCGGTGCTTTCTGTGGCTGTGCTGCCCGCCGAGCCCTTCCCTGGCGTCACCCGCTCTCTCCCTTTGGCCCAGACTCAACCCGGCGCCCAGCAGGAAGGCTCTGCGGAACTCGCGCATCATCGGCCAGAAGGACGACGTCCACGTCTGCATCATGTGTCTGCGCGCCATCATGAACTACCAGGTGGGGCAAGGCCGCGGCCCGAGCGCAGCCCTGCGGGGGGCCAGGTGCTGGTCCCCGGCCAGCACGCTCGCCAGCAAGGCAGTTCCCGGTGGGGTGGGAGACTCCTGGGCAGAGAGGGGGGCTTGGGTCCTGCTCTGTGCGGCTGTGCAGGGACCACGGTAACCCTCGGGCTGGAGCTCCCTGTCCAGGCACTGCAGAGCAGAGCCCCCCCACTCTGGGACAGGGAGCCCCTCGCCCTTCCCAGCAGCTAGCCGGGGAGAGACGTGTCTGGCGTTGTGATCTCCCTGCTGAGTTTCAGCCCCACTTAGCTGTGAGCCACCCCAGGGAGCCTCGCTGTCCCCAGCTGTTACCAAGTGCTGCCCCTCCGGGACAGTCTCAGGGAAATCACCCCACCCAGCGGTGGCCCGGACTCCACCAGCCGCCCGTGAAAATGGAGGGACCCCAGAGGCACAGTGCCAGCAGCCCCCACCATTTAATCTGTGGGGTCCCAGCAGAAGACAGTCCCCGAAGCCCAGATGGTGCTGGCGACCTCTCGCCTGCCCCTCGGGCAGTGAACTGTTTGATACATCTCCAGCCCAGGCACACGGGGTGGGGGCGAGTGCGGGTTCCACCTGGCACCCCGGGGGCGTTCCTGGGTGGGCTGTGCTGACCAGAGGGTCAGTCCCACCACGTGGGGCCTGAAACCTGAATGTGACTGAGTTGCCACCTTCCTGCTCTCCCCTGCATCCCTTTCTCCAGCATCCCCCCTTCCTCTTCTTCTTAGGATGGAAGAATCCAATGCACCGCTACAGACTAGGGGCCGAATGGCTAGGCAGCAGTTCTGCGGAAAAGGACCTAGGAGTGACAGTGGACGAGAAGCTGGATATGAGCCAGCAGTGTGCCCTTGTTGCCAAGAAGGCCAATGGCATTTTGGGATGTATAAGTAGGGGCATAGCGAGCAGATCGAGGGACGTGATCGTTCCCCTCTATTCAACATTGGTGAGGCCTCATCTGGAGTACTGTGTCCAGTTTTGGGCCCCACACTACAAGAAGGATGTGGAGAAATTGGAGAGAGTCCAGCGAAGGGCAACAAAAATGATGAGGGGTCTGGAACACATGAGTTATGAGGAGAGGCTGAGGGAGCTGGGATATTTTAGCCTGCAGAAGAGAAGAATGAGGGGGGATTTGATAGCTGCTTTCAACTACCTGAAAGGGGGTTCCAAAGAGGATGGCTCTAGACTGTTCTCAATGGTAGCAGATGACAGAACGAGGAGTAATGGTCTCAAGTTGCAGTGGGGGAGATTTAGGTTGGATATTAGGAAAAACTTTTTCACTAGGAGGGTGGTGAAGCACTGGAATGGGCTCCCTGGGGAGGTGGTGGAATCTCCTTCCTTAGAGGTTTTTAAGGTCAGGCTTGACAAAGCCCTGGCTGGGATGATTTAACTGGGAATTGGTCCTGCTTCGAGCAGGGGGGTTGGACTAGATGACCTTCAGGGGTCCCTTCCAACCCTGATATTCTATGATTCTATGATTCTTCCCCCTTCCTTCCTTTTCCCCTTTCTCCCCTCCCCTCCGGTTGGGTTCTCCCTCTTGCCCCCAGCTGCCATCCCTGCAGCCCCTCCTGATGTGCTGCCTGGAAGCCTGGACTCTCTGCGGCTCTGAGCCTGGGGGCCTGGTCCACGAGAGAGACCCCTAAGTGCTGCGGTCTCTCCTCGGCAGGGGAGGGGGCTCTGACTGCCATCATGCCCATGGCATCAGCTGCTCCTCAGTGTGGTCCTTGTAACTGGCCTGGCTCAGCTTGGTGTGTCGGGTCCTGTGGGGGCCGGCAGAGGGGGCAGAGCAGCTGGCAGGGGCTTGCCAGCACCTTGGGCGCGATGGGCCTGCAATCCGTGCCCCTCTGGTCTTGCCCAGGTGGTCTCTGCCTTAAAGACACACAAGCATTTCAGAGTGTGTGGGGGGGAAGGGTGAGGCGTGGGATCCGCCCCAAGTTTGCAGATGACACTAAACTGTGAGGAGAGGTAGATATGCTGGCAGGTAGGGATAGGATACAGAGGGACCTAAAAAAATTAGAGGATTGGGCCAAAAGAAATCTGATGAGGTTCAACAAGGACAAGTGCAGAGTCCTGCACTTAGGACGGAAGAATCCCATGCACCGCTACAGACTAGGGACCGAATGGCTCGGCAGCAGTTCTGCAGAAAAGGACCCAGGGGTGACAGTGGACGAGAAGCCGGATATGAGTCAGCAGTGTGCACTTGTTGCCAAGAAGGCTAACGGCAGATTGGGCTGCATTAGTGGGAGCATTGCCAGCAGATCGAGAGACGTGATTATTCCCCTCTATTCGGCACTGATGAGGCCACATCTGGAGTATTGCGTCCAGTTTTGGACCCCCCACTACAGAAAGGATGTGGACAAATTGGAGAGTCCAGCGGAGGGGAACAAAAATGGTCAGGGGGCTGAGGCACACAACTTACGAGGAGAGGCTGAGGGAACTGAGGATGTTTAGTCTGCGGAAGAGAAGAATGAGGGGGGATTTGATAGCTGCTTTCAACTACCTGAGAGGTGGTTCCAGAGAGGATGGTTCTAGACTATTCTCAGTGGTAGCAGATGACAGAACAAGTAGTAATGGTCTCAAGTTGCAGTGGGGGAGGTTTAGGTTGGATATTAGGAAACACTATTTCACTAGGAGGGTGGTGAAACACTGGAATGGGTTCCCTAGGGAGGTGGTGGAATCTCCTTCCTTTGAGGTTTTTAAGGTCCGGCTTGACAAAGCCCTGGCTGGGATAATTTAGTTGAGGATTGGTCCTGCTTTGAGCAGGGGGTTGGAGTAGATGACCTCCTGAGGTCCCTTCCAACCCTGATATTCTATGATTTTATGAAACCTGCTAACACCTGCCTCTCCCCCTAGTCTGGATTCAGCCTGGTGATGAACCATCCAGCCTGTGTCAACGAGATCACCTTGAGTCTGAACAACAAAAACCCCAGGTATGCTCCCCGCCCCTCTTCCTCATGCTGTGGGTCCCTGCTGCGCCAGGTGCTGTACAAACACAGAACAAAAAGCCAGGCCCTGCCCCAGAGAGTTGACAGACTAAGTAAGAAACAAGAGACGGCAGCTGCAGACAGAGATGGGGGAGCACAAGGAAGCAGCGAGGTAGGGCTGGTCAGCGGTGGCCTGGCTGTGGCATGGCGGCAAAGGAGGGATTTAAGGAGGGTCAGGAGGCAGCTTTGCTGATGTTTTGGGGAGCTCCCCCAAGCGTGCAGGGCAGCACGGGACACGTCATTTGAGAGGTTAACATATGGGCAATGGAAGCTGGCAGGGGGCTGACGGACCTGGGAGTGAACTAGAGACCATAGGGAGGGGGCACAGGCTGTGCGGGGGCTTGTGAGTGAAGACAAGCACCTTGTGGCTGATGCCATAGAGAAGGGGCAGCCCCCAGAGGGAGTCAGACCCTGTGTTCTCCCTGTAGGACCAAAGCCCTCGTCCTGGAGCTGCTGGCCGCTGTGTGCCTGGTCCGAGGAGGGCACGACATCATCCTTGCTGCCTTTGACAACTTCAAAGAGGTGGGTCCCCCAGCGACTGGGTCAGAGCCGGTGGGGCCCAGGAGCCGGCTGGCCCTGAGGATCTCAGAGCCCCTGCTGGAGAGGATGGGGGCAATGGGGGTGGGGCCTGGCCTAGGGGTGGGAGCCAGGAACTCCTGCCTCCTAGTCCCAGTTCTGACAGCAGCTCTCAGTGTAGCTCTGATAAATCCCTGCCCTTCCCCAGGCCTCAGTTTCCCCATCTGGTACCCAGCTGCCTGCTGGGGGCTGAGCTGGGCCAGGTCTGAGGAGAGGAGACGCGCCAGGTCCTAAGGAACGTGGCTGTGCGTGGCAGCCACAGGAATTTACGCTCCGTGACTGAGCAGCCTGGTTCTGGTCCCTCGGTGCCGCCTTGCTGTGTCTGTGCGTGTCAGGAGCTGGGGGAGCCCTGCTCGGTCACCTCCCGCCCCGCCTCTTGCGCAGGGCTGCACCCCATGGCCCTCCTCTAGGGCTCTGGCCAGTCAGATAGGTAACCTGGTCGCTGCTGTGGGGGGGCCGAGCTACGTCTCCCCTCCAGTCCGAGGACCACGTTGTGCCCTCGGCGTAAGGACGTGGGTGCTGCGCGTGGCCGGCCCGCCCTGTGCCAGAACTGAGCAGAGCATCGGGTTGGGCCCAGGTGGGGTCTCTCTGAGGGACGGGTCTCTGGCCGGGGGGAGCATCATGGAGCACGTCTCTCTCTGAGGAGCCCCTGCCTCACACCTTGTGGGCCGGGTCCATGAGGGGCTCTCCTTGGCACTGACGCAGGGCTGGAGCGGCGGGACCCTCTCCCCTCTGCAATCCCCCATTCCGTCACAGCCCCACTCCCTGGAGCCTGTCCTCCATCCCCGGAATACACAGACATTTCCCCGAGCCCAGCGGCCATCTGCACGCCAGCCAGCCCCTCACCAGCTCGGTGTGTTTTGGCTCACGCTTCCCTCCATCCCCTCCCCTCCCCTCCGCAGCATGCCCTGGCTGGCAGGGCTGGCGTGTCTCTGCAGACAGAGCAGGGGGCCAGGACCCCATGCTCTAGCCAGGATGGGCAGAGGCAGGGCATGTCTCTGCTGCCAGTGCTGGGGCAAGAACCAACCCTCCTGCCATTGCTGCCTTCTGGGAGCCCCCAGCACTGGCTCCGGCTTGTCTGCAGGTGGGGGTGTTCAGAATGGGGTCAGAACGTGACCTCTGCCCTCCGTGGCTCCCTGCCCAGGGCTGACAGCTGGCATGCAGGTGTGTCGCAGGGTGTCGGATGGACGCCGTACCGAAGGTTTCCCGTCTCTTCCTGTCTGCGCCAGCCCTTAGTGGTAGCAAGGAACAATCCGGCGCCCTTCCCTAGCCCCTTCTGCCAACGATCTCAAGGTGTTTTCCAGACGCTGATGTATTGACCCTTGTAAATCCTATGGAGGGAGGTCACAGTTACCCACCATGGTACATATGGGGAAACTGAGGCACAGAGTGGGGAAAGGACTCACCCAAGGCTCCATGGTGAGTTAGTGGCAGAGGCAGGAATGGACCTCAGGTCTCCTAACCCTCGACCCTGGCTCTGACCATAGGGCGTTGCCTGGAAAGCTGGTGATACAGCACGGTATCTCTGCCCATGACCAGTCTTGCCCTGCCCCCATACAGCCAGGAAGGGGAAGTCTTTTAGAAGTTCCTAGGAGAGCTAGGAGCACAGTCCCATTGGCTATCAATGGGAGTCATGCTCCTAACTCCCTTAAACATTTCTGAAAATCTCCCCCAAATGACCTTGGAGCCAGCCTACAATCCTTCCGTCCCACTCACATTTAGCCGCCCCCCCACCTGCCGTCCCTGGGGAACAGCCTGCCCGTTCTGGGCTCCTGAAACCATCCCTCTTGCTGTTGGGGTTTGTAAAATCCCCTCACCTCTGACCCCTTGGTGTCGCGGCTCTGAAGGAAGGGTCTGACGTCCCTTTGCAACGGCCCCACGGCCCGTGCCCCCGGAGCAGGGAATGCCCAGCTCCTCTGCCAGGCACTCAGAGCGGGTTCTGCGCTGCCAGCCGTGAAGTTCTCGCAGGCGTGGCTGGTGCCCGGGTGCTGCCAGCGTCTCCCGTTGGGCTCCCTCAGGGAGGTTCTAGTGCAGCACAGGATGGGACGGGGGCACTTCACGCAGTGGCGGAGATTTGCCTCTCGGGGGAAGGCCAAGCACTGGGGAAAGCTCCCTCATCTCCCCGCCCAGAGAGCTCGGGGCACTGAGGGAAGGGCTCCTGAGTGTGGTGCTGCTAATGGTGGCAAGCGATGGGCAGAGGCTGTGCCAGAGTCCTGGGTACCCTGCATGAAGTCTGCCAGTGTCCCCATGTCCTGCCTGGCAGCCCCACGCTGCCCCAGTCTAGCCCTGCCCCCAGCCTAGCCCTGCCACCCAGCATAGCGCTGTCAGTGTCCCTCTGTCCTGCCCAGCAGCCCCCGGGGCCGTGTGTCACGGCGTCCCCGGGCGATACTCGGGAACTGCTCCCTACGAAGCCAGGCAGGACTCTGGGGAGTCTCCTCTCTGTGAGCAGCCTGTCTGCAGGACACACAGCTCATACAGCTTCCACCTTCCTGGGTCTGACCTCGGAGCATTCAGCATCCTCTGCCCCTCCGTGCGCTTCCCACAGCGAGTCCACCCAGGCGGGCTCCCGGGGAAGCCAGAGGGTCCTGAACCCCAACTCCGCAGTCAGACGTGACTCTCAGCCAGCCAGTAAAACAGAAGGTTTATTAGATGACAGGAACATGGTCTAAACCAGAGCTTGTCAGTGCAGAGAACAGGACCCCTCAGTTGGGTCCAGACAACCACGTCCGCCCTTCACTCCATGTCTCCAACCAGCCCCAAACTGAAACTCTCTCCAGCCCCTCCTCCTCTGGGCTTTGTCCCTTTCCCGGGCCAGGAGGTCACCAGATTCCTTTGTTCTCCAACCCTTTAGCTCTCACCTTGCAGGGGGGAAGGGCAGGCCATCAGTTGCCAGGAAACAGGGTGTCGGCCATTCTCTGTGTCCAGACTCCTGCACACACCTGCCCTCTAGGGCTCTGCAATGATCATACACCCTTACCCCACCCCCTAGATACTTAAGAACTGCATAGAGGAAACTGAGGCACCCCCACAATATTCAGAGGAAACATTAAGAATAGTCCCACTTCGTCACACCGTGTCCTGCTGTTGCCCTTTGCTGCTCCCCCTTCTCCCCTGGTGGAACAGAACCAATGTGCCGAGGGCCCCTGCGTGGTGGCTGTTCCATGCTGGCAGTGTGTGAAGTGCTGGCCCCATTCGGTCAGCGATACGATGCTCGGGCAGGGCTGCTGGTGCCTGGCAATAAGCTGCCCCAGCTGTCGCTCTGTTACTGCTGTAACCCTACAAGGGAGCTCCAATAAAGGGGCCGATTGGGTGACATGGGCTGCAGGCTGGATTGAATTCCCGGGTGCAGCAGCAGGGAGCTGGGCTGAGGCTAGCGGGAGGCGAGCGGGAGACGGGAACCCAGGCTGACAGCTGAACGATGAATGGAGGGCAGAGGACCTGGTCTCTTGTGCTGGAGACGGGCCAGCGAGCCGGAGCATGGCCTGCAGTCATGGGGGCCGGACACGGGGGGCTCTGTTGGCTCCGTGACTCGGGTTACAGTTCACTAGCATGTCTGTTTCAGCAGCCACCCGTGCTGTCTCTCTCCTATCCCTGCATCCCAGCCATGGCTGTGCTTGGAGCCAGGACGCCTGGGTTCTATTCCTGGCTCTGCTGCTAGCATGCTGGGTGACCATGGGCCAGACCATTCCAGCTCCATGCCTCTGTTTCCCCATCTGTATAATGGGAATAATGAAACTAACCCACCTCAAAGGGGGCGTGAGGCTCCAGTGCCGAGCCTCGGCTGGAAGGTACTATCCGAGGGGAATCGGTATTAATTAATGTATTGAGTGAGTTCTCCAAGCCCCTGCTGGCACTGCACGATGGGCCATGGGGGGCTCACAGCCCCATGGCAGAGCCCGCACCCTGCAAGGAACAGTAGAGAAATGAGAGCCAGGGAGCAGCTGGAGGAATTTAATTGTCCACAACCCCCCAATTCCCTCCCCTCGTTGGTTGGCTCTGGCCCAGGTCCTGTGGCCCGGGCACTGCCCCTGCACTGCACAGGGGTAGGATGGCGCAGGCATCGCTAACTGGAGAAGTCCTGCCCAGAACAAGGCCGTCTCTCTGAGGGCCAGACCTTGCCCATGTCCTCATGCCCTGGCGTTGGCCAAAGGACCTAGCGCTGGAGCTGGACCCAAATGCCCTGACCATCACAGGGCCCTGTTCTGAGCTGCAGCGTCCCTCCTGGTAGGGAAGGAGCCTGGGCAGGGCCATGGTGAACCAAGGAGGCTGCTGGACTCAGACGCACCCTCCGGTTCTCTCTGGCTCTAGCTCCCAGCCCACCTCTCCTCGTATCCCTATCCTGGGTCTTCCCAGGGCCTGGCCCAGCCTCTACCAGGCTCACAGAAGGGGCTGCCCGCTGCACTGCATTGGCCTGACCCTTCCCAGGAGTCGCTGCACTGGACTGAACATTTATGCCTCCGTGGTTTCCATCCCTCTGCAGCTGGGATTCCAGCAATCGCCATGTGGCCGCCTGCTGGTGTGCCCTGGCCATGTCCACGTACAAGAGTCCCTCTCCTGCTCTGGGTCGCTGTCATTATGAGTCCCATGGGGCAGCAAGGCAGGCAAGGCATTGGCTTTATTGAGCCATCTGGTCAGCTGATGGATGCCAGTTAGTGGCAGATCGATGCCAGTTTTTGGAGTTTCATCCTGGGCCGAGTTGTTATCGAGGATTTGTACTGCAGCAGCACCTGGCAGCCTGGTCACAGACCAGGGACCCATGTGCGGGGCGCTGCATGGTCTCTTACCTTGGGGGGCTTTGACCTACTAGAGTAATGTGGCAGGGAGGAGGAGCTGGAGATCCCCTGGGAAATCTACCCCCCTTTCTCCCCCAGCTGCCTTTGGCTTCATTTCTAGGAGTGCACAAAAATCTCAGTCCCACAAGCCTTGGAACAGAAGACGGGCTGCAGGGGTTTTACGCCGAGGGCTCAGAGCTGGAACAGGCTGTGGTGAGGGGTGGGGTTACGCTGGGGCGAGCTCAGCGAAGCGGGGTGTCTGCTCTGGCACACTCATTCGTGCACCTACACTCGCAGACCCGTGCACTGCCCAGGCTCACACGTGTTCTGGGCACTGCAAAGCTTTTGGACTGTGGCTGGCTGCAGGGCAGACATCGTACTGCTCTCTAGGGCAGCAGGATGGCACCGTCTGGGCCCGGCTCCCTCGCTGGGTGGCTTCTCTGCTTGGCAGGGAGCAGCAGCAGCCCGTGGCACAGAATCCGCCTGCGCTGAGCGGTCTCTGCTCCTGCCCACAGGTCTGCGGAGAGAAGAATCGCTTTGAGAAGCTGATGGAGTATTTCCGAAATGAGGACAGTAACATTGACTTCATGGTGAGCATTGGGGGAGGAGAGTGACGGGGGGGAGGGCAGCCCCGTCGCCTGCCCCATCCCCCAGACCATCCATAACATGCTGCTGCTGCCTGAGTGTTCAGGGCTTGTGTGATGTGAAGACTTGGCTGGTTTTTCCATCTGCTTAGTGCAGGAAAGAGCTGTTTGCAGCACCCCTTCCTTCCGCCTGTCACCATAGGTGGGCATGCCCCCCTGCCCCTGGGATGGATCCAGGGCTCCGCACACAGCCTTCAGCCCTCTGTTAAACCGTACATGCGCGGCGCTGAGGAAAGAACCTGTAACCTCACTCCCAGGCCTCTGCCACCTGAACTACGGGTGAATCCCATTTGGGGTCAGTAGTAATAGGGCTTTTAGCGTGCACAGGCATCAGACCACTAGAGGGCAGTAGTTGATATATTGCAAGTCTGGAGGGTCTCTCGGAGCGAGCAGGGGGCAGTTCCAAATGCCATTAGCCCCTCTGACTGGGTCTTCGAGGCTTGATTTTCCCTGTGTCCAGCAGCTGTGTTGGTTCTGGGCTTGCCTCCTCTCCTCCCACTAAGCGTGGCTGTGTTAAAGGTCCAGCTGGGTGACACTTTTTTGGCAAATAGTAAATCCACCATAAAATTTTTCGGGCACTGAATTTGGTCCGAACACGGTGAATAGTTTCAGCCACAAAAAACCCTGAAAGCAAAAAAGATTATTTAGCCAATGTCTAAACAAACTGGGTTGATGCTTTTGTTTCAAGTCGGCGTTCCGAACGTTGCATTCAGTGCAAATGACATTGTGGTGGTGGTGGATTTTGTTTCATTGAGAGGAAAAAACGAAAAAAATCCCACTTCGGTTTGAAAGAAAATGAGTTATTTATTTATTTATTTATTTATTTAGGGTTTAGCCACCAAACAAAAACGATCAATGATTTCTTCTGCTCTGATTAAGGGAGACAGTGTTCTGGAGTGGGTGGCAGGACGCTGGGGTTCTCTTCTCTGCTGCTGACTTGCTTGACCTTGGGCCTCCTCTCTGCTAATTCCTTAAAGCACTCCGCGGCCACGCTAGGGCACTAGCTCTGGGAGACACCATCTCATGCGTGCTGGAACTGTTCACGCTGGCTTATGTGCCTAGCACGAGACCCTCGAGCGGCAAGGTCACAAGATTGGGAGGCCAGGCAGCTGCTTCTGGTGCTGGTCACTGATGGCTATAGTGTCCCTGCTTGTGTCTCACTACCCCCCGCCCGCCGCTTGCCCTGGTGGAAGGAGAGGCTCTGGTGCTAACCCTGGGGCTCCCCGGCAGGTGGCCTGCATGCAGTTTATCAACATCGTGGTGCACTCGGTGGAGAACATGAACTTCCGCGTCTTCCTGCAGTACGAGTTCACTCACCTGGGGCTGGATGAGTATCTGGAGGTGAGGCTGCTCTGACCCCCTGAGTTCTGAGAGAGGAGGCTGGTCTGTATGCCCCCATCACTGGAGGTGTTAGCCACTGTCCTCTCAACGAGGGACATCCTCTGTCTACAGCCATCTCCTTTAATGGGCCTCGTCCGCACGCACCACGTGTGACATACCAGCCTGGGCTATTGGCCACGCAGCCTGGAAATGCTGGGAAAGAGAAGGGCTGGGCTAGGACTGGGCTCCTCCGGCTCCCTCTTCCCCAGAGCCACATTCCAGACCAGTTGTGTTGGCTGGAGGAGCAGGGTGGAGGCTGCGCGGAGACCCCAGAAGAGGAGGTGTGTGTGGATGTGCATTCAGCTGAGAACGTTAGACTCAGGACGCCTGGGCCTGGGCCTGGCTTTGAATGGGGACCCTTGCTGTCTTGTGACAGAGGCTGCGTTACACGGAGAGCGACAAGCTGCAGGTGCAGATCCAGGCGTACCTGGATAACATCTTCGACGTGGGTGCCCTGCTGGAGGACACAGAGACCAAGAATGCCGTGCTGGAGCACATGGAGGACCTCCAGGAGCAAGTGGGGCATGTAAGGGCCCTGGGGCACCAGCCAGGGCAGGCAGGGAGCGAGGAGCCGTTCCTGCGAAGGGCGGCTGCAGGAGCCCATCTGCGTATGGGCAGGAAAACGCTGCCGTGTGCTCAGCGTCTCTGTGACCTGAGAGCGGGGAGGGATTCCAGGGCTGCTCCTCCAGGCCCCTAGCACCGCCCAGCTCCGGGACAGGAGGGCTGGTTGCTTTGGTCCCCGCTGTTCCTGTTTTCGGCCAATGGGAGTTGCTAGGGAACAAGGCCTCCATGCCGCCTGTGGCTCTATCGGACCAGGAGCTTTGACCCTGGCAGCCAGTGCCCTGGCACGCTGCCTAGCCCAGGGGTTTCCCACGTCCTGGGCTTGCGGTCCCAGGAGTTCTCCCAGCCCCTGGCAGCTGGAGGGGGGACGCTGGGACCTTTCTCTTGGGCAGGGGGCTCCCAGCGTGGTCTCCTGGCATCGGGACTGTCTCACCTGCAGCTCCCCTCCTCCCTCGGGGTGCTGGGAGCCTGTGCCCAGGCCCACCCCTCGTGGGGGACTGGCTGAGGGCTCGCTCCTCTTGCAGCTCACAGAGAAGCTCCAGGATGTGGAGAACGAGTCAATGGCCAAGATCGCGGAGCTGGAGAAACAGCTGAGCCAGACGCGCCGTGAAGCAGAGACGCTGCGGGTGAGACCAGCGGGGAGGGGAGGGCGGGGCACCTCGGCTGGGGCAGGGTGAGGCCAAGTGGGGAGGTGCAGGGGGGCAGTGAGAGAGGTGTCGGGCGGGGTGGGGGCAGGGAGACGGGGAGCGTGGGGGGCGTTCCAGTGGGGAGATGTTCCCGCACTGAGATCTCGCAAAGGTGGGGGGGTGATGCTGCTGTCAGCCTTCCCGAGAGGCTCCTCTCCCAGTGCGGCGAGGCTGGGACGGGGGCCCTCCTGCTGTAGGTGGGCTCCTGGCACCCAGCTGCCAGTGCCGGAGATGGGGTGGGGGGGCATGGTGGCGCCTCTCTCTGTTCGTGGATGATCCCCCCACCGCCGCTGGATCTCTCGGGCGGGCTGGTCCCTGCTGGCTGCTGCGCGAGGCAGAGGGGATCGGGTCCCTCCGCCTGTGAGGGGGGATGGCGCTGATGCCCGCGGTGCTGTGTGTGTCCGCTCAGGAGCGGCTCAACGACTCCAGCGGCCAAGCCCGGCCCCCCCCGCAGCAGCGGCCGGCGGACGCCCGTCCCTCGGCCTTGGAGCAGAAGCTGGAGGAGCTGGAGGAGAAGGGGTTAGTCCGGATCCTGCGTGGGCCAGAGGGAGCCGTTGCCATCGAGATTGTCCCTGTTGTCATGGAAACCACAGCAGTCCCCACGGTTCCTATAGAAGCTGCCGCCTCTACCAGCACAGGTACCGTCAGTGGGCAGCGTAGCTGGGGGGCTGCAGGGGTTAAGAGGACCCCTGCATTGGGAGTGAGGCTCTGGGTTACCGTGACCCACCCCTGGGCTCCTCCCCTCCGGCCTGTCCCGGCTGGGGCTGCAAGCCCCGGAGCCCCCAGGGTGGCTCTTCGCCGGCAGGGAGCTGGATCTCCACATGCTGGTGCTGGCCCCGCTGCCCACCGGCTGCCTGTGTTCGCCCCATGGTGCACACGGGCCGCTGCCTGGGATCGGGGCCCCCAGGCCAGGGGCTGCACGGATCTGTTCAGATACGCTCTCTGGCTACACCTCCCAGCTGAGGATCTGAAAGCATTTTGCAGGGGAGGGTCAGCATCGTACACCAATGGTACAAATGGGGAAACTGAGGCACAGAGAGGGGGCTGTGACTTGCCAGAGGTCACCCAGCAGGTCAGTGGCTGGGGACAGACACCTCGGCGTCTTGCTGAGCCTAGTCTCTCCCTTGCTGGCAGGGTGGATGGGTGACATTTCTCTTACTTATTTTGCAGATTTCCCATCTCCTTCCATTTGCTCCCCACTGCCGCCCCCTGCTGCTGCCCAGACGATTCCTCAGCCTCCATCTCCCCCACCACTGCCCCACACCGACGACGCAGGCTCTGTCAACCTGCCTTCTCAGCAGCAAGCCCCACCTTCTGCACCCCCTCCGCCTGCCCCGCCCCTTCCTGGGGTCGAAATCCCACCACCTCCTCCCCTCTCAGTGGAGGGTGGCCCGGCACCTCCCCCCCCACCCCCCCCACCCCTGGGAATGCCAGCTGGAGAGGTCAGTGGCCCGAGCACAGCAGCCAGTTCAGGTGAGTCCAGTTTCCGGGATATGATGGTGTCCATGGAGTGTGCAGGGTGAGAGCCAGAGCACAGCGCTGGGCAGAGGGGCCGGGGATGCCCTAGGAAGACGGGTCCCCTGGTTATCCACCGATTAGGCATAGCATCATTCACACCATAAATAGGGTGACCAGATGTCCCCATTTTAAAGGGACAGTCCCAATATTTGGGGCTTTTTTTTATATGGGCTCCTATTACCCCCCTCCCCCATCCCGATTTTTCGCACTTGCTATCTGGTCACCCTAATCACAAAAGGGATGGTCAGTCCCCCTGGTCCAGACAGCCCTCACCCCTGCTGAGTCAGCCAGGGGAATGGGTTTGGGTGTGTTGTGGAGACTGATCACACGCATCACTTCACACACATCCCCAAACAGCCTTCAGCTGAAAATGACCTGGGGTCGATCTGTCCCCCTGACCTAGCAGTGAAACCCCCCTGCCAGCCTGTATCAGACCATCGATCCGTCTAACTCAGTATCGCACCTGTGGCCATTCCAGCTCAGGTCCTGGCCGCTTAGCCTGGTCCCTGGCCTTCTGCCAAATGGATCAGAACATCGGTCCATCTGCCGCCTTGCCTCCAGCGGCAAAGCCGTGCGCCAGGGAAAGGAGATTGCCCACAATGCCCCTGGCCAGCTGGGCCGTGCTCTCTTGGAGGCGTGGAAACCCTTGTGCAAGCTTTGTGAGGGTGCTGGAGGAGCTGTAAGGTCCTGGCTGTCCTGGCGCTGCAGGTTGGTTCTGTGGGCGCTCATGCCAAGCTTTCCAGCCCACTCCTCTCCCTCCCTCTCCCTGCTAGCCGTCAAGATCAAGAAGCCAATTCAAACCAAGTTCAGAATGCCCATCTTCAACTGGGTGGCTCTGAAACCCACCCAGATCAACGGGACCGTCTTCAACGAGCTCAACGACGAGAAGGTCCTGCAGGTGAGGCTGTCTTGTCCCGGGCGGATAGGCTGGGGTGCGGAGCAGGCTCTGAGCTGTGCTGACCGAGGCATTTCTGCGTGGAGACTGCCCGAGGGGCCTGTAGGCCGGATTGGCAGCCTGGTGTCGCGAGACTCCGCGTGGGCTCCTGAGCCCGGGAGCACCCAGCCCTGGCACAGCCCAGCCCAGGGAGGTGAGATGGGGCAGCAGCGTGCGGGAAGCAGAGGGAAGAGCCTCCTGCCTGCCAGCCTGCTGGGAAAGTGGCTGGAGGAGGCTCTTCAGCACCCTGGAGAGGGGCTCTAGTGCTGGGACAGTTTCATGGACGTCACCAGTATGAAGCCGGCCCAGCCCTAGAGGAACGGGCTCCCCCTCTCTCCCCTGCACCCCCCCCACATTGTGCTGGTGCTCCCCCTCCCTCTCTGCATCTCTGTCCTGCTGCATTCTGCCTCTCCGCTCCCCTCCCCACAGGAACTGGACATGAATGACTTTGAGGAGCAGTTCAAGACGAAGGCTCAGGGCCCCAGCTTAGACATCAGCACCCTGAAGGTGAAGGCTGTTCAAAAGGCCCCTAGCAAGGTGACGCTGATCGAGTCCAACCGAGCCAAGAACCTGGCCATCACGCTCCGCAAGGGCGGCCTCAGCATCGACAGCATCTGCAAGGCCATTGAGACGTGAGTGCCCTGCCCCACCTGCGCAAAGCACAGGCCCGAGCCCAGGCTGGCTGCAGCCGGAGGCAGGAGACAGGGGAGCGAGCAAGGAGCATAGGGCTTGGACACAGCCTGGCTGGAGGGTCTAGAGCAGGGCTGGGCAAACTTTTTGGCTTGAGGGCCACATTGGGTTTCCAAAATCGTATGGAGGGCTGGTTAGGGGAGGCTGTGTTTCCCCAAACAGCCAGGGGTGGCCCGGCCCCCGCCTCCTATCCGACCCCCCTGCTTCTCTTCCCCTGACAGCTCCCCCGGGACTCTTGCCCCATCCAACCCCCTTGTTCCCTGTCTCCTGATGGCCCCCCGGGACTCCTGCCCCATCCAACCCCCTTGTTCCCTGTTAGCCCCCCCGGGACTCCTGCCCCATCCACCACCCCCTGCTCCCTGTCCCTTGACCATCCCTGGACCCCCCCCGACTGCCTTCTGCCACCCCAACCAACCCCCTTTCTCATTCCTGACTGCCCCCCCGGGACCCCTGCCCCCATCCAACCCCCCTGTTCCCCACCCTCTGACTGCCCTGACCCCTATCCACACCCCCACCCCCTGACGACCACCCCGAACTCCCCTGCCCTCTATCCAACCCCCACAGCTCCCTGCACCCTTACACGCAGCACAGAGCACTGGTCAGGCTGCGGCTCTGCAACTGTGCTGCTCAGCAGCCCAGAGCATTGTGCCCACGGCACGGCGAGCTGAGGCTGCAGGGGAGGGGGGACAGCAGGGGAGGGGCCAGGGGCTAGCCTCCCAGGCCAGGAGCTCAGGGGCCAGGCAGGAGGGTCCTGCGGGCCGGATGTGGCCCGTGGTTCTGTAGTTTGCCCGCTTCTGGTCTAGATCCAGGGCCTGTGAGAGGAGACGCCCAGGTGATGGCCAGAGGTGGGGTGTGGAACCCCGGGGGAGGGGAGAGGCTTGGAGGGGCCCAAAGCTCAGCTGAGCTGAAGTTGCTGGCCAGACATCCAGGAGCTGACGTCGGGAGGCTGAGCTGAGGTGTAGGGCTGTGGGGAGGGGAGCCTGGCTAGGCGGGTCTGGGCATCTCTGGCTAAGGCTGGCATCTGAAGCCTGGCTTGGAGGTGAGGGCCTAGTGAGAAGCAGGGGCCAGGGGTGAGGAGCAGGGGATGCCCACGGAGAGGACGGGGGGCTCAACGAACGGGACGCTGCAGGGACAGCTGGAGAGGGATGGGAGAATGTGGACGGGATGAGAGCGGAGGGAGGATGGAATCGGAAGCAGGGAGCTGTCGCCGGTATTGAGAGGTTGAGGAGGAAGAGGATGGAGTGGAGCCCTGGCGTTTGGCTGGGAAGAAGCCGTTAGACTTTGGTGAGAGCTGATTTGACGGTGTACAAGGAGCGAGAGATGCCTGGAGTGGGTCTAAGGGCTTGTCGACAGGGGAAACTTCCTGTGTAATTGTAGCACTCGTAACTGTGCTGGTGAATTCCCTGCAATGGGATTGGAGAACTGCAAACAGCCTTTGCAGACACTGCGTTCAAGGAGCCTGGAGAGGAGGAAAGGCAGGGGAGTCAAGGATGGGTGGTTTTGTATGGAAGAGACTAAGGCATCCTTGTATTGGGAGGGAAAGGTCCCTGAGGGGAGGGGAGGAGACGGGATGGCGTCACTGGGATGGCAAAGGAAGAGCAGAAGAGAGTCTGCGACAGGAAGAAGGGGAGGGAGGATGGAAGGGGGAGGTCACACTGGATCTTGTCTGTTATCTCTTTGTGAAAGCCAGTAACATTTCTGTGAAGAGGGGGTGGGAGAGCTGAGGCTGGCAACACGTGTCTGCGGTGGGTACGGGATTCAGTGTGGCTGGAAAAGTAAAGCCACGTAGCTCGGGAAATGGTAGAACTGGAGAAGAGAATGAACTTGTAATGGAAGTCAGCATGGTCTGAACTTCCAGAGATGCTCCGCTGCACGAGAGCAGGAAGTGGATTTTGAGGGTGAACCAGGGTTGAAGATTGACAAGGCAGACCATGTGATGGGAGAGGAGCAGAGACATCAAGGGTGAGGGGGGCGGGGGGACACTGAAGCATGGAGAGAATCAGGCACTCTGGTCAATGGAAAAAAAAGGGAAGAGCTGGCAGGGAGGAGAGGGCTGAGAGCAGGCTGGGCTGAGTCACAGAAGGGCCAAGTGACAGGGCATGGGCGAGGATCAGAGGGGAGCTCAGCCCCAGAGAGCTCAGAGCGAGCCTGGCATGGGGAGGACCACCTGGCGGGAGTGGCTGTTCAGGGGAGTGGCAGAGTGGATCCAGAGCTGCAGGCCGAATGGGGCGGGGAGATGAGTGGCTAAGGCTCTGTTCCCAGCGAGGGACACTGTAGCTGGGTGTGCAATGCTGCACTGGCCTCTCTTTGCCTCCCTCCCCCAGGTACGACTTGCAGAGCCTGAGCCTGGATTTCCTGGAGCTGCTGCAGCGCTTCGTGCCCACCGAGTATGAGCTGACGCTGATCCGCAAGTACGAGAAGGAGCAGCGGCCGCTCGAGGAGCTGTCGGACGAGGACATCTTCATGATCAAATTCAGCCAAATCCCTCGCCTCGCCGACCGCATGAACATCATGACCTTCCTGGGCAACTTCAGCGACACGGCCCAGCTCCTGATGCCGGTATGGGCCAGAGCGGGCGGCCGCCTGGCCTGCACCCACAGTGACCCGGGCGGGGGCTCTGCCGTGGGCTGGGGGGTAGTGACATCAGAATGCTTCCTCCTGGGCCTCCTCCAGGACTCGATGAGATCGGCGAGCAGGGGCTTGCGGACGCTGAGAAGCATCGCAGGCCTCCAAAGAAAGGCCCGGTGCGGGGAGGGGTGGGCTGGGGGATCACGGGCATTTATTCTTCAGCAATCTGGCTTCTAATCTGCCCAGTCAGGTCAGGAGACCCAGGGAACAGCCTTGGTGCATCTCAAGCTAGTTCATTAGCTGTCAGAGCTGCCACGTGCACTGGGGGACATCTGCATGGGCAGCTCGCCTCTGGGGCTGGGATAGCAAGGAGGGCAGCCCGCCAGGACGGTGGTGCCTCAGCTGAGCCGTGGTGGGAGAGCCCAGGGCCGGGGCAGCCGAGCCGGGGCAGCCCAGGGCTGGGGTGGCAGGGGCTGCAGGTCAGGACCAAGGGCCAGGGCCTTTGGATGAGCGGGTCCAGAACCCATCCTGAGTGTCGCTGGCTGTCTGGAAGCGCTGGGACCGGTGTCATGGTGCGTTCCGGGTGGGTGGGCTTCCTTGTTTTGGGCAGGGCTCGGCTGGGGTGGGAGCCCAGCTGGGTACTGTGGGGGCTCCCTGGTGGGGATGCCTGGGGAGACTCTTGCATGGGGTGGGGCCAGCGGGGGGGCCTCGTGCTGACAGGGGGAGGGGTGATTTGTGCTGAGCAGAAGGCAGTCTCTGCAGGCACTTTGGACTCGGGCTTTGCCTTGCTGGCCCATCTCACCCGCCTCTCCCTCTGTCTGCAGCAACTCAATGCCATCATTGCAGCCTCCATGTCCCTCAAGTCCTCCACCAAGCTCCGCAACATCCTGGAGGTGAGGGGCCTGGGGCCCGACCGGGTGCTGGGCAAGGCCAGAGCAGCCCCAGCGGGGCTGAGGGGGTCCCTGTGCCCTGGGCTGGGCTTGCCGGGCTGTGGGGGAGGGGCTGGGCTAGGCCGGGCTGGGTCGGAGGGTCTGGGCTAGGCCGGGCTGTGGGGGAGGGTCTGGGCTAGGCCGGGCTGGGTCGGAGGGTCTGGGCTAGGCCGGGCTGTGGGGGAGGGGCTGGGCTAGGCCGGGCTGGGTCGGAGGGTCTGGGCTAGGCCGGGCTGTGGGGGAGGGTCTGGGCTAGGCCGGGCTGGGTCGGAGGGTCTGGGCTAGGCCGGGCTGTGGGGGGAGGGGCTGGGCTAGGCCGGGCTGGGTCGGAGGGTCTGGGCTAGGCCGGGCTGTGGGGGAGGGTCTGGGCTAGGCCGGGCTGGGTCGGAGGGGCTGGGCTAGGCCGGGCTGTGGGGGAGGGTCTGGGCTAGGCTGCGGGGGAGAGTCCAGGCGGGGCTGGGTCGGAGGGTCTGGGCTAGGCTGCGGGGGAGAGTCCAGGCGGGGCTGGGTGCAGCGTCTTATTTGGGAGAAGACTCCCCCAAGCAGCCCTGCAGCCAGTTGGCTGGTGTCCTGAGCTGCCAGGCTGGGTATCTGTGATTGCCAGTCTCAGTGCCTTTCTGCCCCGTGCCCAGGCCACTTCCCCACTCCAGGGGGATGCCCCACCTGGCTGGCTAACGGGGATCGGCACCCTGTGCCCTGGCTGCCCATGGGAGCTGCAGCCTGGCAGGGCTGCCTGGCGCTGCCCTGCCCGGTGACCGTTCTCTCTGCCCAGCCTGGCAGGGCTGCCTGGCGCTGCCCTGCCCGGTGACCGTTCTCTCTGCCCAGCCTGGCAGGGCTGCCTGGCGCTGCCCTGCCCGGTGACCGTTCTCTCTGCCCAGCCTGGCAGGGCTGCCTGGCGCTGCCCTGCCCGGTGACCGTTCTCTCTGCCCAGCCTGGCAGGGCTGCCTGGCGCTGCCCTGCCCGGTGACCGTTCTCTCTGCCCAGCCTGGCAGGGCTGCCTGGCACTGCCCTGCCCGGTGACCGTTCTCTCTGCAGCCTGGCAGGGCTGCCTGGCACTGCCCTGCCCGGTGACCGTTCTCTCTGCCCAGCCTGGCAGGGCTGCCTGGCGCTGCCCTGCCCGGTGACCGTTCTCTCTGCCCAGCCTGGCAGGGCTGCCTGGCACTGCCCTGCCCGGTGACCGTTCTCTCTGCAGCCTGGCAGGGCTGCCTGGCACTGCCCTGCCTGGTGACCGTTCTCTCTGCCCAGCCTGGCAGGGCTGCCTGGCACTGCCCTGCCTGGTGACCGTTCTCTCTGCAGATCGTCCTGGCCTTCGGGAACTATATGAACAGCAGCAAGCGTGGAGCGGCCTACGGCTTCCGGCTGCAGAGCCTCGACGCGGTAGGTTGTTGGGGAGGGGCCCCCCCTCAGCCCACAGCTTTCTGGGGACAGGAGCCCCAATAGTCCCCAGGCAGCACCTGCTTTGACTGGACAAGGGGGAGGAGGGTCAAGCAGCAGGTTTCACTCTGTGGGTCTCATGCTGGGGGAGTGGGGAGCTGGCATCTGGGGGCTCCTGACTCTGTCAGCCAGGTCTGCCCCCCAGTGAGGAAATCCAGCACTAGATCAGAGGGTCTGCAAAGTCTGCTTTCACTGCCAGGGCATAAACAGTGTCCTCTCACTGTCTCCTCTGATCATGCCAGGGAGGGGTGATGATGGCTGGGTGTGGGCACCGGGAGCACTAGCAGGAGGTGGACAGTGACAGCTGGGAACTGAAGGGAGCAGGAGGTTGGCAGGGGGTGGGCAGTGGCAGCTGGGTGTGGGCCCTGGGGGGTTGGCAGGGGGTGGGCAGTGGCAGCTGGGTGTGGGCCCTGGGAGGTTGGCAGGGGGTGGGCGGTGGTGGCTGGGTGTGGGTGTTGGGGGGTGGCAGGGGGTGTGTGGTATTGGCTGGATGTGGGATCTGGGGGGTTGGCAGGGTGGACAGTGGTGGCCGCATGTGGATGCAGGTGGAGGTTGGCAGGGGGCAGGCGGTGGTGGCTGGGTGTGGGCTCTGGGGGGTTGGCAGGGGGCGGGCGGTGGTGACTGGGTGTGGGTGTTGGGGGTTGGCAGGGGGCAGGCGGTGGCTGGGTGTGGGCCCTGGGGGGTTGGCAGGGGGCAGGCGGTGGTGGCTGGGTGTGGGCTCTGGGGGGTTGGCAGGGGGCGGGCGGTGGCAACTGGGTGTGGGTGTTGGGGGTTGGCAGGGGGCAGGCGGTGGCTGGGTGTGGGCTCTGGGGGGTTGGCAGGGGGCAGGCGGTGGCTGGGTGTGGGTGTTGGGGGTTGGCAGGGGGCAGGCGGTGGCTGGGTGTGGGTGTTGGGGGGTTGGCAGGGGGCAGGCGGTGGCGGCTGGGTGTGGGCTCTGGGGGGTTGGCAGGGGGTGGGTGGTGGCGGCTGGGTGTGGATGAGGGTGGGAGTTGGCAGGGGGTGGGCCCTGTGGGGATGGCACGGGACGGGGCAGTGGCAGGGCAGGAAACGGTTACTCCCTGTAACTGTGGTTCTTCCAGATGTGATCAGCCATATATTTCACTTTGGCACGTGAACGCCCAGTGCACCAGAGCTGGGAATTTTCCCTAGCAGCACCCATAGGGGCAGCGCTTCCACCTCGTGGCCAACCCCATCCCTGGCTGTATGGGGCGCCCCGATCCCTTTCTGTTCCTTCGCACCGAACACCCCTGAGATACGGCTCCAGTTCAGAGGGGCCAGAGTGGGGGTCGTAGAAGAGACGTTTGCATCCCACCTGGACGAACCACAGATACAGGGAGTGACTGTTTCTTCTTCTCTGAGATGCAGCCATGTATTCCATGTGGTGATTCACAAGCAGGACCTGGGAGGCGAGCTCGGCATCTGCCTGCACAGGGATTACAGGGCCACCTTACCAAGGCCTGCATCTGCTCTGGGTGCCACGGTAATGGCCTAATGGGCTGTAAACCACAGAGGGAAGCTATTGACGTAGCTTGTGCTTTTGTCTAATGAGCTCGCACCCCTCGAGGGGTGTAGGGGGACAATGACCTCGAGGGGGTGTAGCCGAAGCCAGAGGTGCTGGAACTGGGGGGGCTGCCATGCCCCTGGGCTTGAGGTGGTTTCCATCACATGCAGGGTTTGCAGTTTGGATCAGTGGCTCTCAGCGCCCCCCACTTTGCACATTGTCCCAGCGCCCCTAGCCAAAGCTGTTTCTTACACCGCTTTGACGCAGGAAGTTATCCACTGTATGGAGCCTGCCTGTCCCTTCGCACGGTCTGCCTATGACACAGAGAGAAGGCAAAGCATGGAAAGGTTTTAGCCCTGTCCAGGTAGAAGGCAAGACGTTGTCTGACATCTAATGTGTGGAGACGCTGCTCCTCCACGAAAGAATGTGGCTTAGGAAAGAACCCAGTAAATACACGCCTAGTTCAGATGAAATTGAGAGACCACCTTAGACGCAAATTTTGGGGCGGCCTCAACATCACTCTAGAGAATTACAAGTAAGGAGGCTCTGCTTTCAAAGCCTGCAGCTCCCAGACTCCACGCAGATGTCATCACAACCAGGAACGCAGGTTTTTGACACAAGAGAGAAAAGGGGGAAGTTGCCAGAGCCTCAAACGGGGGTTGTATCAGCGCTGCCAAGACCAGGTGACGGTCCCACAAGGGAACCGGTTCCACCACCAGTGAGAGGAAGGATTTCTTTTAAGAGTCTTGCTACCACGATACTGGAAAACACCAATCTTCCATGAACTGGCAGATGAAACACTGAGATTGCCACCGGATGCACCTTCAATGAGCTAACTGTAAGGCCCGAACAAGGGATGGCCTGTGGGATGGTCGGGAGCGCAGGAGAAGCATACAGGAGAGCCGCTTGCCAGCTGAGGTGGAAGGGAGAAGAACGGATGGTTGTCCCATGTGGCAAGCAGGGCGATCATTGGGGTGCCCCAAGCTGTGACAGTGACGCGCAGGACACTGGACTCCCAGGACCACTCGTGACTCAGGGAAAAGTTCCTGCTGAGCTGGTCACGAGACGGTTCTGGACTCTGGGCAAGCAGAACCCAGCGTAGAACTGCCACTGCGTGGCACCCCTTTCCCTGTTCACATAACACATCGCGACGCTCTTGTCAGCGATCATGCGAGCCACTGAGCCCCGATGCGCTCTAGAGAAGCGTGACAGGCATTGTAGATGGCACATTGATACACAGTGACGCTTCCTGCTTCGACCACAGACCCTAAACACCAGATGTGGTCCCCAGTCCATCAGGAAGGTGATGGTGACCACAGTCCAGATTGGTAAGGGCCGGATGAAGGGAATACCCTGACGTTCCCCTGGACCATCCCCCAGGATCAGCGAGGGAGGCAGACCAACCTGTCCAGGGGCGGGAAGGGTTGGACGGTCAATGGTCCTGAGCCATATTTGAAGAGGGCGAACATGCAGCCCGGCAAATGGACTCACCTGTGGGCATGTGGGCATGTGGCCCAAGAGTCTTCGGCACCTCCGAACTGTTGTGGAAGGTTGAAGTGCAGAGCGAGACAAAGGCAGAGAATCGTCTGAAAACCATCAGTTGACAAAAACACCCTTAAATCATAGAGTCTATTAGGACCGCAGTGAACTCCATTTTCTGAGTGGGGCCCAATGTTGACTTCCGGGTGTTGGGGTGAGACCCAGACGGTCAAGTCAGCACAGTGTAATGTGCACATGAGAGAGAACTTCTCTGGGCCTGCCCCTTAGTAACCGTTATTCCAGGGGCGGGAAGACACAGATTCCCTTCTTCCTGAGACCAGGAGTTTGGTAAAAACCCGGGGAGGGGCAGAATACAGACCGAAAGGAAAGACTGTACACTGCAAATGGCCATTTGCCACGACAAATCGGAGAAATCTTCTGTGGCTCGGGAGAATCATCACATGGAAATGAGTGTCCCGAAGGTCCGGAGCATTGGGAACCAGAAAGTGCCAGGAATAGAAACCTTGGCCCCAGTGCTCTGGAGGAACCTTCTCCACCACTCCCAAAGCTAGTAGAGAGAGGACCTGCTCAGGAAGCAGCTGTCACTCATCCGGTGGGGTGCCTGCAGCCCGCGGGACAGGGAGCCAGGGTGGAGAGGAGTAGGGGAGAGGCACTGGAGAGCACAGCCTGATCTGACTGTGCTTAGGACCCAGCTGTGGGTGGTAATCAAGCCTGTCCCTGAACGGAGGGGACAGGGAATGAAAGTCAAGACTGGACCCCTGTGCTGGGCGAAGGAGGCTGGGGGAGGGCATCTCGCCTGGCTGACCCCAGAACCCGATGCTGCTGCCTCTGGGACCTGTGCCCCTGTCTGGGGTAGTCCTGCTGTTTCGGGGGGAAAGATTGCCCAAAGGGGCGTTGTGGGTAGTGACCCGTAGTGGCGCCTTTGCACCCCCGGTGCGCACCCCCAAGGAACCCCTAGAATCCTTGCAGGAGTGCAGAGCTCGGGCCATTGTGACCGAAGTCGGCGAGGCTGGGGAGTGCCGCCGTGGTAACGTTGCCGGCGTGATGTCCAGTGGTGCCGAGGAGGTCCTTGTGCCAAGCCCAGCACCAGCCTCACTTGCACAGTCTGCGGCAAAGGCACATCGGGGTGCGGTGCTGACAGACCCAGAGGTTCAGCAGGCCATCCGGACAGCGAAACCCTGGACTAAGGAAGAGCTCAGGAGGGAAAGGCAGGGGAGATCCGCTGCCGCCTGATCCACTGCCGGCATGGAAACCGTCACCCACATCGGTACCGGATTCAGTAGACGCGCCGGGGCCAGAACCGAAGTCGATGGTATGGGGTCTCGCTCGCCCCTGTGTGGTACCGGGCAGTGACTGGAAGCACCTGCTCCATCCTGTATGCCAGCAGTAGCCGTGCTCTTCTTGGAGGAGGAAGACGAGTGTCCACGAGACCTGGAGTGGTCTCGATTTGTCTTACAAGTCCGGAGAGGCCCCGGTCCCAAAGTATGGGCTGGTACCACTCGCTGAGGCTGAGGGTGCCCTCTGACCCTAGGCCTCGGTGCTGAAACAGGCCTCGTGGCCCGCTGGACACGGTGCTGCTTTAGGCAGAGGTCTCCAGCCACCCGAGTGTGTTTTGTGAACGCGTTACAAATCGAAGGCTGCTCTCGGACGGGGGCCTCGCCTAAGCGGAGCAAGCACCCTCTGAGGGCGTTGATGGGGGTCTTCCCCCCCACCCCAACGGACGGTGTTTGAACCCTGGCGAGGGCATCGCCGGGGAACACTTAACCCAGCCAACCGACTGACGCTGGCATGAAAGGCACTAGCTAGCGATGGGCTCCCGGACCAGCCACGTCAGAGGAGGAGGAGTTGTGAGGTTCAGAGCCACCCAGAGCTCTGACTCCAGCCACGGGGGGACGAAAGAACCGAAGGAGGGTCGGGGTGGCAAGGAAGCGAGGAGCTGTGGCCGCGCGGCGTGAGCGCCACCTCCTCCGGGTGCTGCCAGGAAAATGCTCTGGCTGGTGCGCGCGCCTATGTGGAATATAGAGCTGCATCTACCCTGAGAAGAAGTGGCTGGGGACTGGGAGGGGAGGGAGATGGCAGGGGGAGGAGGGTGCTGGGGGGGAATGGCAGGGGGAGGACAGTGGTGGCTGGATAGGGGTGCTGGGGGGATGGCGGTGGCTAGGTATGGGTGTTGGGGGGTGGCGGGGGCAGACAGTGGCAGCTGGTTAGGTGTGCTGGGGGGAATGGCAGGGGGAGGGCAGTGGTGGCTGGGTATGGGCACTGGGGGGGGAATAGCAGGGGGGACGATGGTGACCGCTGGGTATGGGTGCTGGTGGGGTGGTGGCTGGGTATGGGGCAGGGGGCAGAAGCTGGGTATGGGCACATGGGGGCAGCAGGGGGCGGAAGTTGGCGGCTGGGGTATGGGGCAGGGGGCGGAGGCTGGTGGCTGGGTATGGGGCAGGGGGCGGAGGCTGGCGGCTGGGTGCAGGTTCTGGGGGTGGACACCTGGGCATGGCCCCAACCTGACTCTGCCGTCCCCCAGCTGCTGGAGATGAAGTCGACGGACCGGAAGCAGACTCTGCTGCACTACATTGTGCGGGTGATCATGGAGAAGTACCCGGAGCTGACGGGCTTCCACACCGAGCTGCACTTCCTGGACAAGGCGGGCTCAGGTAGCGAATGTCACGGAGTGTGGGGGAGTTCAGGCCCTGCACCCCTCTTCCTGGGATTCATAGAATCATAGAATATCAGGGTTGGAAGGGATCTCAGGAGGTCATCTAGTCCAACCCCCTGCTCGAAGCAGGACCAATTCCCAGTTAAATCATCCCAGCCAGGGCTTTGTCAAGCCTGACCTTAAAAACTTCTAAGGAAGGAGATTCTACCACCTCCCTAGGTAACCCATTCCAGTGTTTCACCACCCTCCTAGTGAAAAAGTTTTTCCTAATATCCAACCTAAACCTCCCCCACTGCAACCTGAGACCATTACTCCTTGTCCTGTCCTCTTCTACCACTGAGAATAGTCTAGAACCATCCCCTTTGGAACCACCTCTCAGGTAGTTGAAAGCAGCTATCAAATCCCCCCTCATTCTTCTCTTCTGCAGGCTAAACAATCCCAGTTCCCTCAGCCTCTCCTCATAACTCATGTGTTCCAGACCCCTAATCATTTTTGTTGCCCTTCTCTGGACTCTCTCCAATTTATCCACATCCTTCTTGTAGTGTGGGGCCCAAAACTGGACACAGGATTCCAGATGAGGCCTCACCAATGTCGAATAGAGGGGGACAATCACGTCCCTCGATCTGCTGGCAATGCTCCTACTTATACATCCCAAAATGCTATTGGCCTTCTTGGCAACAAGGGCACACTGCTGACTCATATCCAGCTTCTCGTCCACTGTCACCCCTAGGTCCTTTTCCGCAGAACTGCTGCCGAGCCATTCGGTCCCTAGTCTGTAGCTGTGCACTGAGACTCTCAGCCAGCCAGTAAAACAGAAGGTTTATTGGACAACAGGACCACAGTCCACAACAGAGCTTGTGGGCACACCCAGGACCCCTCAGTCAAGTCCTTCTGGGGGAGCAGGGAGCTTAGACCCCAGCCCTGGGGTTCCCTGCGTTCCTCCACCCAGCCCCAAACTGAAAACTAACCCCCCCCAGCAGGTTCCCCTCTGCAGCCTGTCTTCACATTCCTGGGCAGAGGTGTTACCTCCCCCCCCCCCACTCAGGTGACAGGCTCTCAGGTCTCCCACCCCCAGGGCACATTCCCAGGTCAACACTCCCCCCTCCCTGCTGCGTCACATCATCACAGCGAGCATGGCTGGAGCTCAGGGTGCCCGCAGGCAGGGCCAGGCCCGAGCCCTGGGGCGTGGAGCTGGAGGGCGCAGTCCCGGCAGGGCTGTGTGAAGCCTGTCAGAGGAGCCGGGCCAGGAGCACAGGACGGCCCGGCTCTGCAGCCCTGCCACTCCCCACTGACGTTGCGTTCTCCTCTGCCCGCCCAGTGTCCCTGGACAGCGTGTTGCAGGACATGAGGGCCCTGCAGCGGGGCATGGAGCTGACCCGCAAGGAGTTCATGCGGCAGGACGACAGCCAGGTGCTCAAGGACTTCCTCAAGGCCAACACTGAGGTGATGGAGAAGCTGCAGACTGACAGCAAAACTGCCCAGGTAGGTGGGTCGCCCCAGACTGGGGGGCTGAGCCGAGACAGCCTAGGGGGGCGGGTCACCCCAGACCAGGGTGGGGCTGATGCTCTGGAGTGGGGGCTGTGCCAAGACTGCCCAGGTAGGTGGGTCACCCCAGACTGGGGGGGCTGAGCCGAGACTGCCTAAGGGGGTGGGTCACCCCAGGCCAGGGGTGGGGCTGATGCTCTGGCGAGGAGGCTGGACTGAGACGGCCTAGGGGGGGTGCGCAGCGGGCTGATGCTCTGGTGGGGGGGCTGAGCTGGGGGTGCTCTTGGCCTGGAAGGGGACCTGGTTGGAAGGCCGGTGCCTGCTGGTGGTGCAGGGGGAGGGCCCAGGTGGGGTTGCTGGGGGGCTCTGCCTCTGGAGCAGGCTTCCAATGGCAGCGCTGTTGGGAAGGGGAGCCGTGGGGGGAGCAAACGTGCTGCCGGCCCTGCGTAATGCCATCCACCGCAGCGGGGCGCCCCCAGGCAGAGCAAGGCTCCTCGGCCCCAGCCAGCTGACGCCAGCCTAGGAGCGGGGTCTCCAGGACCCCGGCAGGGAATCTACCTGGGGGTGGCTGCGCTAACGGGTCCCCCCTGCCGGCAGGAGGCCTATGAGTCAGCTGTGGAGTACTTCGGGGAGAACCCCAAGACCAGCCCCCCCACCATGTTCTTCCCTATATTCGTGCGCTTCGTCAAGGCCTATAAGGTAAAGGGGCCCCAGGAGCTGGGGGGAGAGGCCACGCTGCCCTGCGGCCTGTGGGGTGACGCTCTGGTCGTGCCATGGCAAGAGAATGGCAGCAGCCCTCAGAATCTGCCTTGGCTGGGACTGGCCTACGCCAGCAAGGACCCTGTGGGGCCCCCTGGCCCCGGGCGTATTGGCTGGGCAGACTGGATCTGGGATCCATGAGGGATGGGCACAGAGCTCCGTGGCACTCAGAGGCCATGTGCCGTGTCCTCGGGCTCGAGCAGGGCAGGAGCTGGGGGAGGCACTCCCTCCTGGTACTCTGGTCGTGCCATGGCAAGAGAATGGCAGCAGCCCTCAGAATCTGCCTTGGCTGGGACTGCCTAGCCAGCAAGGACCCTGTGGGGCCCCCTGGCCCCGGGCGTATTGGCTGGGCAGACTGGATCTGGGATCCATGAGGGATGGGCACAGAGCTCCGTGGCACTCAGAGGCCATGTGCCGTGTAACCCTGCGGGGCTCGAGCAGGGTCTGCCCAAAGACTGGCCTTGGGCCCTGCCTGCAGGGCCAATTCCAGCCAGGCTTTGCAAGCTCATCTGCTGCGATCCCTCGCAGCCAGGGGGCGGGGTGGGTCTGCTTCCCGGGCAGTGGGTGTAGAGCCCCAACCTGTGTAACCAGAGCCCGCACCGTTCTCCTCCCAAGAAAGTGGAGCAGGACATCGAGCTGTGGAGGAAAGAGGAAGCAGCTGCCAAAGAAGTGGAGTCCAATTCCCCCAGGAAGCCAGAGCCAAAGGTACGAGCCAAGCTGTAGCCCCCAGAGCTGGGCCCCGCTTCGTCCCACAGCCGTGACACCAAGCGCCTGTCCCATGTGCTCATTCAGGAGCCTTTCCCAAGAGGCGGTGTGTCGGAGCCAGATTCTTGCCAGCTCCGACATTCTGCCTCCCTCAAACCTCCCCTGGCCGTTGGAGTCTTCTTCACTTCCTCATAACCCAGAGTGTAGCATTGCTGTTTGCTGGTACACAGCTGCCCTGCTCTACCCCAGAGGTGGCTGCAGTTCTGTGGTGGGTGAAGTGTTTCTTGTATCTGGTTTGTAAAGCACTTTGGGGTCTCCTCCTACCGAAGAAGGAGACACTGTGTGTGAGGGGCCAGATGGCTGAGGGCACTAACTTCTCTCCTTTCCACGGTTGCTACCACAGTCTCCTGTCCACAAGGCCAAGCGCCAGCAGATGGACATGATTGCTGAGCTGAAGAAGAAGCAGATGGTGAAGGAGCCCCTCATTTACGAGGGAGGAGATGGTGCCATTGAGGACATCATTTCGGGTAAGGGGGCACAGACCCAGAGACCAGCAGGGTCTTCCTGAACCCTCAGACTGATGCCTATGGGAACTAACGCACCATACGTTAGCCAGGGGGCCAAAGCCAGGGCAGCTGGTGCAGAGCGGGGTCCTGGCCAGGTGGCACCAGAAAGAGCCCATTGCTCTGTGATGAGTTTTCTTTGGGCTCTGCATGTCACATGACCACTAACCCTTGCTCCCTTTCTCATGACTTGCCATGTGGTACACACCATTGCTGCCAATCACAGGGCTGTGCTCTGCCGTTGCTTCCCAAGGCACCATCGCCTGCCATCCCCTGGCCTGGCTGGCAGCTCTCCTGTCCCCTGGGGCTCAGGGAGGGGTGGGCCAGTGGGCTGCGTAGCCCAGAGGAGTGTGTTCAATAGGTGGAGCAGGGAGCTCCCGGGGTCTGTTCTCAGCTCTGGCACTGTTGTGCTTGGGGCGAGCTGCATCTCTCCGGGGTTTGGTGTCCCCAGCCGTGCAGTGGGTTGGTGCTGTGAGCTGGTAGGGCATTAGTGTGTGCAAAGAGCTGCCAGGGCCGGGACTGAGCATCTCTGCCTGGCAGCTGCAGCTCAGCCTGGGGGCTCCCTGCTGCCTTTCCGTAATGCCCCTGGATCTCTAGCCCTCCAAATCTCCCTGGGCTGTGCCAACAGTCGAGCCATCCCCTGGCCTCGGGCTGAACTGACCTCCCCAGCAGCTGAGAGGGGGCAGGCTCAAGGCATCCACCCCGCAGGGGCTCGACATTCCTCTAGAGCATCGTTGCAGCTCCAAGCAGCACTCCTGGCCGCTGTGCAGGGCTGAGCTCTCCCCGTGCACCTCGGTCTGTCTCTCATACATCCTTGGCCTCACCTCCTTCTGCGGCTTTCTCCTGCTCTCTCTCTCTCCCCCCCTTCTGCTGCCTCTCGGCGGATCGCTCTGCTCAGCTCTGAAGACGGTTCCTTTCACAGCCCGGACAGGCAAGCGCTCGTCCCGGCTCTTTTGCGAGGCCAGCTTCAATGAGGAGAGTCCCCTGTAGCTCTAGGTAACCCCTGCCTGGGGAGCCGGGTTCTGGAGGGGTGCCCAGGCCTGGGCTACCGACTGCGTTGGAGGAGCTGGGCTGGGGGAGCAGATTCCTGTGCATGCACCTGCCGGGAATTCCACCTCTTCCCTCTGAGCTGGGTGCGTGTCCGGCGGGAGGACAGCCAGGGAGGCGGTATGCCGGGGGCTCACGTACGTCTGCTTTGGGCCGTGATCTTGTTTGCGCTCACGCTCAGGGGGGTTGGGCCCGGTCCATATGGGGGTGGCAGAGGCCTAGACAAACGGCAGGTGGCTCAGCAATTGGTGCAGGAGGCGGCGGGCCTCCCTTGGTGCCAGCACAGAACGGGGAGGCCCGGCGAGGTGCTGGCCCTCTCCTGCTGGCCTGTCTGGCGAGCGTTGCAACATGAAGCCGTGTCCCTGGCTCCTGGCGTTCCACTTCCCTTCAGCGCCGGTTGGATGGGAAAGGCCCCTCCCACCCCACCCCACAGCCAGCACAGGGTGGCACGTGGCATCTGCGGGGGGTGAAGGGCACCAGTGAGGGGAGTTGCTCTCATCGCCTCAGGGCAGGTGCAAAGGGCTGCTTGGTTTCCCCCTTGCTGGTCAGGCTCCAACCAGGCTCCGTTTTCTCTGGGCACAGGTCTGCGGAACCAGCCGTACAGACGCGGCGACACCGGCCGGTGCAGCGGCAAGAAACGACCCATGGGCCAGACCCTCCAGGTGACCCCTGACATCTCGCTGTGACCGCCCGCCTACAGTGATGCCCTGACTGGAGGAGGCCAGCCTGCAGCACCGCCCCGCCCCGCCCGGGGAGAGGAGGTGGATGTGACCCACAGGGACTGGGCCACCATGGACCAAGGCCTGAACCAAGGACTCTCACCGATGGGAGAATCCCTGCTCGCAGCTTCAAGCCGCTTAACTGCTCCGAGTGCCAGCTGGTGCCATGCACACCCTTCCCCCCAAACCAGCCCTGCACGTCTGGCACAGGGCTCTCCCCCGCTGGCCATGTCCCTGCTGCCTGGGCAGCCAAGTCATTGGCTCGGGGGGGGAGGGGGAATGTTACGTGTGTGGCAGCTGCTTGAGCTCCACATGAGAGACCAGAGGGGGGTTAGGGCCCCAGTAGCGATTCCCATCCCTCTTCTCCCTCACGCAACACCACATGCTGGGCTGGACCACAGCCACTGACCGGGGCCCCCCAGTGCACCAAGAGTGAGGTCTGCCCGCAGTCTGTGCTAGCCCTGCCTTCCTGCCTGCCAATGTCTGGCAGATGCTGTCTGGCTTGGGATTGCAGTCCATGGGCTGCATCTTGTACTGTGATTGCCCCTCCCCTGGCCTGACTGGCCTTCTCGTGCTGCTTTAGGGCTGACCCTGACCCCAGCCTCCCGCTCGGCCTTGGCACTGCCTTGCCCTGATCTCTGTTGTAGTGAGAACAGAGCGCCCAGGCTCTCGCCTCCCTGGCCCCGGCCTGGCTGCAAGGGGGACCTACAGAGCTGTGCTAGGCTGACAGGGGCTGTTGCACCAACCCTCTTGGCTGGCAGGTGGGAATAGGGTGACCAGCCATCCTGAGCTGAGGGGCTTTGTCTTACATAGGCACCTATACTCCCTCCTGGCCCCTGGAAAAAGTGTCCCGAGTAGTCACACCCTTCTCTGGTCACCTAACGTGGGAACGGTATTTTAGGGTGGCTTTTAAATGTCTTCCTTGGCTTTCTTGTTATGCTGCACTGCGTGGGGGAGGCAGGGAGGGGATGCCGCTGTTCCTCCCTGGGCTCAGGATGGGAGCAGCCCCTCTCTCATCCCCAGGGAGGCTCCAAACAATGACAATCAACAGGGGTAAAGCAGCACTATTCCTCATGTCACCACAAGGTGTCACCCTTTCCCCATGCCATCTGCACCCCGCCCCCGGGCTGGGCTGGGGCCACAGCTCAGACCTAGTGCCCCCTAAGCCCTGGGCAGGGCTGGAGCCTCTAATTGTACAGCTAAGCCTTTCACAGGCAGATGAGTGACAATCAGAACAACTGGCTCTGGGCTGCAAGGCTGGCCGGGATGTCTGTCGAAGCCCTAAGCACACACCAGGCTGCACGGGTGCCCCCATTGCCAGGGGGCTGCAGTAATGCAGCTGTGCCCTCCTGGCTGCAGAGCAGGGATGTGGCTCTGGCCAGCTGCAGCAACCACAGGCGCAGCGTGTGTCTACGCTCCCAGCTGCATGGCTGTGCACCCAGCTGCAGCGAGGGCTGTGGGCTGCGGCTCCCCATCCCCTCCCCTTTAGCCCCCGGACTCATGCCTCAGCCCCAGGCGCTGGTGGAATGATGCAGCCCCCCTGCTTGCTGGAGTAGAGGAGCCCACTGAGATCGAGCCCTGAGTTCCACGGTGCTCGCCCTCCTTCTTTCGGCCTGACTCAGGGCATGCAGCTGCCATGGATCCTCTTGCTAGGCCAGGCTTTTCGAGCAGGACTAGCCATGTTTGCAAGCCAGAGCTGTGATTGCTTCCTGCTGTAATTAAGGGGCAAAATGCCAGCTGCTTGGTCTCACTCCCAGACGCTCATCACAATGCAGGCGGGGTGGGGGGTGGGGAAATGAATGTGTAACTTATACCATGCCTTTAAGAAACAGGAACTGCTCCTTTGTATACATTATTTTTATATCCTGGCTGTGAGGCCTGGTTTAATCTGGTAATAAACCCACTACGGCTACAGTTCCCGGCTGCTCCCGTGAGGCCTCCTCAGCCAGCATGTGAAACGTCGCTGCCTTCCCTTGGTGCAGGCAGGGCTGGGGTCGTGAGGTTGGTCCCGTGGGGTGGGGGTGGGGGGGCAGAGAGAGGCAATAGCATCTAGTCAGTAGACCAACTGGTTGGGGCGGGGGGGGGGAGATGCAGTTGAGCTTACAGCCAAGAGCTCTGTGTACACTCACACATCTCGTCACCCCCCGCAGCTGGTCCAGCAGAGATGATCCTGCCTCACCCACCTTGTCTCTCCAGGGAGTGAAACAGCAGCAGGGAGAAGATACACTCCAGAGCATGGAGATTAAGGCAAAGGTCTGGGGTAGCTCAGGGAGAGCATCACTCACTCAGAGCTGAGAGCATTCCTTGGCCTCTGCTGAGCATTACCTGGGGGACACGAGTCCTGCAGTTACCACTGGAAGCTGAGGCCTTCATGCTGGAGGGGAGCTGCTGGCATGTTGGGAGCAGTTCATCCTCCTCAGCTGCTCTAGGGGCTTAGAGGGTGCTGGGCCCCACATCTCCACAGAGCATTCTTGCCCCAAACAACCAAAAGCAAGGAGGGGAGACATGACATGCCTCAGGTCACCAGCCGAGCCAGCATTCAATGCCAGGGCTCCTGCCAGTCCAGTGCGCTGCTGGCCCAATCTATTTGTAAGTGTCCCAAACAATAGGGCCCTCACCCCGAGGGCAGCTCCTCTCCTGATCCTTAGTGCATTGGTTCTCTTCTCTTCAATTCAGCCAAGTTATAGGCCAGTGCCAATTTCACATCTTCGGTGTGATTATAACCTTCCACTGCTGTGCAGTTATGCTCCTACCCCTGCTGTTCTATATTACAAACACTGCAGCCATGCAGATGCCAACAGCAGAACCCAGAGTACCAGACACGCACCATTGGGTTTGCTCCCATCAAAGTTCTGTATGTCCTGAAACTGGTCACTTAGCTCATGCAGCTTGACACTTGGAATTCTGCAAATGCTGGGTGTGACGGGTTGGATCACAGAAACCCCCTGGGAGCTGCCACCTGAGGACTCCAGCACCCTGCCTGGTTTGAGCCAGAGCTGCTAGCCTGCTGCAAACCCAGACCCAGGTCTGAACCACGTCCCCTAACAGCTGCAGGCTTAACTGAAAGCAGCTTACAGAAGTGTTCCTGCCTTTAACACTCAGATGCCCAACTCCCAATGAGGTCCAAATAAATCTTTTTTACCCAGTTTATACAGGGTAAACTCATAAATTGTTCACCCTCTATAAAACTGATAGATATGCACAGCTGTTTGCCCCCCCCCCCAAGTATTAATACATACTCTGGGTTAATTAGTAAGTAAAAAGTGATTTTATCAAATACAGAAAGTAGGATTTAAGTGAATTACCAAGCAAAATAAAATAAAACCCGCAAGTCTATGTCTAATAAAACTGAATACAGACAAAAACGTCACCAGTTCCAGTAAGTTTCCTTTTACAGACTAATCTCCTTCTAGTCCAGGTCCAGCAATCACTCGCACCCCCTGTGGTTATTGTCCTTTGTTCCAGTTTTTTTCTTGGGAGTGAAGAGGCTCTCTCTTTAGCCAGCTGAAGACAAAATGGAGGGGTCTCCCACGGGCTTAAATAGACTCTCTCTTGTGGGTGGAGACCCCCTCCTCTCTCCTATGCAAAGTCCAGCTCCAAGATGGAGTTCTGGAGTCACCTGGGCAAGTCACATCTCCATGCATGACTCAGTTTTTAGGTGTCAGAGTAGCAGCCATGTTAGTCTGTATCCACAAAAAGAACAGGAGTACTTGTGGCACCTTAGAGACTAACAAATTTATTTGAGCATAAGTTTTCGTGAGCTACAAAGCTTATGCTCAAATAAATTTGTTAGTCTCTAAGGTGTGTGACAGGGTCAGGCCAGATGGCTATAGGAGAGTAATAGAACGCAGATATATTAGCCCCAGGCTAAGTAGGTCCCTTTTCCCTGGGTAAGGTAACAGGGAAGGTTCCAGAACAATCAGGAACCTTCTGGAGACAATTAAGACAGGCTGATTAGAACACCTGCAGCCAATCAAGAAGCTGCTAGAATCAATTAAGGCAGGCTAATCAGCACACCTGGGCTTTAAAAAGGCGCTCACTTCAGTTTGTGGTGTGCGTGTGAGGAGCTGGGAGCAAGAGGCACTAGGAGCTAACAGCGAGAACGCGGACTGTTGGAGGACTGAGGAGTACAAGTGTTATCAGACACCAGGAGGAAGGTCCTATGGTGAGGATGAAGAAGGTGTTGGGAGGAGGCCGTGGGGAAGTAGCCCAGGGAGTTGTAGCTGTCACACAGCTGTTCCAGGAGGCACTCTAGACAGCTGCATTCCACAGGGCCCCGAGCTGGAACCCGGAGCAGAGGGCGGGCCCAGGTTCCCCCCAAATCCTCCCAACTCCTGGTCAGACACAGGAGTCGTCGACCTGGACTGTGGGTTCAGAAAAACGGCCAAACTGAGGGCTGCCGCGAAGCTCCAAGGCGAGCAAATCCGCCAGTAAGCGCAAGACCCACCAAGGTAGAGCAGGAACTTTGTCACAACTGGTGTGGGAAGTGGGATCTGGTGTCCACAGCGCGGCGAAAGAAGGAGGGTGTTTGGAAGTGGAAAGAAAAAAAAGGAAGAGGATCTATTTTTATTTTTTCTCACCACGATGGAGGAGGGAGTGCGGGCACTGATGCAAGCCACGGCTGCCCAGCAGGAGGCTACCCGTGTCCAGGCAGCCGCCCAACAGGAGGCAGAGCGGCTGCAGCAAGAGACTAATTGCCTGCTGACAGACCAGGCTGCTCAAACCGGGCTATGTTGCGGGAACTGGTAAACCAGGGAAAGGCCCTGACAGAGCTGAACCGCGGCCATGAGGGGACGCAGATCATGCTGGCCAGCAATTGGCCACAGACAATGACACAGGAGGATGATGTAGATGCATACCTCCTGGCCTTTGAGAGGACAGCCCCGTGGGAGGCTTGGCCCCGAGAACAGTGGTCTGGCATCCTCGCTCCATTCCTGTGTGGAGAGGCCCAGAAGGCCTACTATGATTTGCCTGAAGAGGCTGTGGCAGACTACCCCCAGCTGAAAGCAGAGATCCTGGCCAGATCTGGGGTAATGACCGCAGTGAGGGCCCAGCGATATCATGAGTGGAGGTACCAGGAAAACAAAACCCCGTGTCCCAATTATATGACCTCGTCCATCTCGCATGAAAGTGGTTACGAACTGAGTCCCGGAGTCCGGAGGAGATACTAGACATTCTGGTCATCGACCGGTACATGAGAGGACTACCGCCAGGCCTTCGCGCCTGGGTAAGCCAGAACGAACCCTCCCCCTACGACGAGGTTGTCGCACTGGTAGAAGGGTGAAGGACAGTGAGGGAGCTGACCTGACCCGTTAAGGAAGAAGCACCCCGGTTTAAACTAGCAGCACCAAGCCCTAGAGCTCGGGTGCCTGGGCCACCATTAGAGCCCAGGGGGAAAAAGAGAGGGGCTGAAGGCCACCAGAAGCCACAAAGAGTCGGAGCACTGAGGGGGAAGAGGATCGTGATATTAGACTACCCAAACCAAGAGACCGGGGGACGCCTAGGACTCCATACAGACGTTACGCCTGCCGGGAGTGGGGACATATAGCTGCACAGTGTCCCAATGCCGAGGAGCCTATGCAGTGTAACCTGGGGAACTGGGCAGACCCATGCTCCCTAATCCACCTTGTGGGGGTCTCACTAACCCCACATATGTACACCAGACCAGTGAAGCTAAATCGGGTAGAGACCACAGCACTGGCTGATTCGGGGAGTGTTATCGCGCTTGTCTCGAGGAAGCTCGTGAAGTGTAGTCAGCTGCTGTGAGCTAAGCGTACGGGGATAACATGCGTCCATGGGACAGTTGGTTATTACCCCACCATCCAGTAAAAATCAAAATTCAGGGGAATGCTACTGAGGTAGCAGCAGGTGTAGTCCCTAAACTCCCATACCCAGTGCTCGTAGGGAGGGACTTCCCAGGGTTTGGAGACTTACTCCCGGTAGGGGAATTGGAGAAAGGGGGAAGCCCTGAAAGTAGTGAGGCATCCACAGTAGACTGTCAACCCCCAACCTTCTCTGAAATATCCCCAGATTTGTTCTCCACTCCCAGACAGCGTAGAAAGACGAAAAGGGAAAGAAGGGCAGTTAAGGCCTTGGGAACCTGAATACTGGACCAAAGCCAGAGGGTCGCTCTCGGAGGTAGGCGGACCTGAGCACCTGAAAAGGAGGCCACCCAGGAGGGAGAAGCACCTGAGTCTGACCCACACCCTAATGCCTCTGAACCAGTAGAGGCAACAGAGACTGGCCCCCTAGATCTCGGGCAGATTAGCCCTGGGAGAGGAAATTTTGGACGGGACCAGGCTGAAGACCCAAGGTACGACATTAGGAAGAAGGTGACCGAAATAGATGGGATCCCCGTGGAAGAGAAACCCCAGGGACCAGGACCCTACTTCATAATGAAGAAGAATCTCTTATACGGGGTTGCACCAGTACAGGGGAAGAAGGTACAGCAGATCCTAGTACCTCAAAAACACCAGAATGCTGTATTAAGTCTGGCCCATAGTCATCTTTTTGGGGGGCATTTGGGGGTAGAGAAGACCCTGGCACGGGGGGGGTCCTGTGACGATTCTTCTGGCCTGGAGTACATGAAGAAGTGCGGAGGTACTGTGCGTCCTGCCCGGAGTGTCAGCTGCACAATCCCCATCCCCACTTGAGGGCACCGTTAATACCCTTTCCCATCATAGAGGTCCCCTTCGAGTGAATAGCCATAGATCTAGTAGGACCCCTGGAGAAGACCGCCTGGGGCCACCAATATATACTTGTCATTCTGGATTATGCTACTTGCTACACAGAAGCCGTTCCCCTGCGGAACACAGCCTCCAAAACGATAGCTAAAGAGTTGGTGGGGATCTTTGCCCGCGTGGGGCTACCAAAGGAGATATTAACAGACCAAGGTACCCTATTTATGTCGAAGC